GGAAAAAAAAAAAAAAAAAAAAAAAGAAAGCGCCAGTGAACTTTTTTTTTTTTTGGTATCTTTTTTTTTTTCTTCTTCTTTTTCTTCCCGCACAGATGGTTGGTTTACTTAAACTGTTTCACCTGCGGGAGAGTTAGTGAGAGGCGGTCGATCGGTTCGGACTGAGGAGCGTAGTGTAGTGTAGTGTAGTGTACCTAGTGTAGTAGGCTTTTCCCATCTATTTTTAAATCGGGCTTCCTTGCCTACCTACACGTGTCTCTCCTGTGAAGAGGCTGATGGATGGATGGATGGCCTGAGGCGCTTGAGGCGCTTGAGGTGAGGCCACCCTTCGGCTTTTACAGATCGATCCACCTCGGTTCTGGTCCACAGCTGCTTTTCGAAGTACTACGTACTACGTACGACTACAAAACCTAGAAAACAAAAGCTGGTGGTAGGTACGCAAGCGGAGCACGGTATAACTGGAAGGGGGAGTTTTTACATTGATTCCAATCCTCTTTCGGTATACGATTTGGAAGTCCGGTTTTTTTTTTTTTTTTTTTTTTTTTCTAGCCTTCACAAAGGTTTTATATTATAAATGTTGAGTACACACTCTTGCAGACCTGAACATATTGATATGCTGGTGCATGGGTCCTCGGCTATCAGAAATGGCGCTGTCTCACGCTTAAATTTTTTAATATTTTTTTTTATTATAGCCGAGGCCTCGACAATAATTTTCCATACGCGCTTGAAATGCTTCAAGCCATCGGCGGATACTGGAAAAAATCGGATTCTTCAAAAAACCAGGTCTGCACGGGAGGGGGAGGGTACGGAAGAGCGGTCCAGGGGATTATACTCTACTACGGTATTGCAGTAAGTACTACGTAGTAGTACCTACTACTGTACTACTAGGTACGTACTAAAAGCGCATGCATGCACGTATTCTATCTGATCCTACGCAACTAAGCCCCCAGTACCTGCAGACGCAGACGGATGGGTCGCGACGGCAGGACCCTGAAGATCACCTTTTCTTCCTCTTCTTGTTCTTCTTCGTCTCCTCTTCTTCCTTCCCTTCTTCTTTTCTTCTTTCCGAACCTGAAGCTTGGCAGAGAAGACGAGATACGAGCGAGAAGATGAAACGGGGAAGCTGAAACGCGACGACGCGATGCGAAACGAGAGAGGCAGCGCTGAAACGAAACCAAATTCTCGATCTTCCCTTCTCCTTTCCCTTCTTTCCTCTCCCGTGACGACGCATGAGGAACGAAAGAAGAAGAAGAAAAACCTTCAAAGCCAAAACCGACGATCAGAAGGTCGTTCTGGTGGAAAGTTACGGTCTGGGTCAGGTAGAGTATTGACACGCGTATACTGGTCGCATATACAGTATACACCGCAGTGTAATAATGAAGAGGAGAGGAATGATGGATATGGACGTGAATCTGATACTCACTTGGTCGTAGTTGTGGCATGGAAGGATAGCTGTACATACTACGTAGTACGTAGTACGTAGTACGTAGTAGGATTCACGTATGCATACGTAGAAGGAAGGCTCTTCTTCTCTCGAGTGTACTGAAGCTTGCGTACCTTGCTTACCGTGCTTACCTTGCATACTCCCCCCGCCGCCTCAATCCTCCTCCTCAATCCTCCTCCTCCTCCTCCTCCTCCTCCTCCTCCTCCTCCTCCTCTGCAGAAAAGTGCCGAACTCTTGCGCCGACGTAGGTAGCGGTAGGTAGCGCCGAAAAGAGATACCATCGGGTCATACTGAACAACTACGTAGTAACAGATACTCCAGTACGGTAATCCTCTCTTTGCCTCCCCCTCTGCACATCCTCCACGTAGGTAGTACGTACCGGTAGTATATCCACATTTACGTACTACACCTTCTATTCCAAGATTCCACATTCCAGGTTCCTAGTAGTACATTCCAAGTTTCCACATTCCCCATTGCCACACTCCCCATTGCCACATTCCCCATTTCCCTGCATAGCAAGTAAACAACAAGGACCGAAGAGTGGAGAAGAGAAGATGAGTCTCCGCAGAGAGAGCACGTTTGAGCTGCTCACACAGTCACAGTCACAGTCACAGTCACAGTCACAGTCACACTCACCATCACAGTCACAGTCACCCTCACCCTCACCCTCACCCTCACCCTCACCGCCCTGGACCCGGATTCCAACCCTGCCCTCCAACCCTTGCCCTCCACCCTTGACCTTGACCTTGACCTTAACCTTCACCCCACCCCTGACCTCCAATAGAAAACGGTAACTCGACTAGAAAACAGCAGAAGAAGTCGAGAACGGTAATCGGAAGAACAGGAAAAGAGTTGGAAACGTGATCTCCCATCTCCCATCTCCATCTCAATCTTGATAAGGAGGTACCGGTACTACGTACGTACTAAGTACGTCTTGGATCTTAACCTTTCGGCCCAATCCCACTCTCAACTCGACTGAGTTGCGGTACGGTACGGTACGGTGCGGTACGGCACGGGGAAGGAGCCGCCGTGTACCGGTAGTTACGTAGTTACTGCGTACTACTACGTCGTAGTAAGGACCTAGTATTTCATGGATGGGTGATTCGTTCTCACGATATGGGTGGGGCCGAGCCGGGTCGGGTCGTGTCTGTCTGAGGAGCGGTCAGGTGCGTGCTGACCAAGGCGAATTGACTCATCTCATCTTCTTGACCGGATAGGTACCTATTCTCAGCAGCAAACAAGATCAGAACCGGCTCTCCATCAAAGACGACACTGAATATAGCAGTACTACACTACAGATAGAACCGACCATTACGTAGTAGCGTAGTTCGAAGTATCACCGAGTAGATACGTAGTAGATGCCTGACTTTGAACCAAAACCCCACCCCACTCAACCCGCGCTGCTTACTTATACAGTAGTACTTACAGCTTGCGCACACTGGCTATCAACCAGCCAGCGAGAGAGGAAACCAGGACGCGCAGAGCCTCGTGCTCGTACGTCACATGAGTGGTGGACGTAGTAGTACCAGTGCTGCGTACGTATCGTGTGCGTCGCGCCGTCAGTCAGTACGGGAGACCTCCTCCCCGTCCAGGATCTTCGCATCTGGAATGCCCCAAACCGCTAAACCCTCAACCTCCAAACCCCCAAGGCGGTGAGAGTACCCAAACCCTGGCCGTGCCGGTACGTACGTATTCCGCACGATCACAATCCTCCGTACAGTCACGATACTCTGTACACGCAGAGATGAGTCAGACCGTAGACGAGAGAGACGAGAGACGAGACACCAGCCCTGAGATGAGGTGAGGTAAGGTGAGGTGAGGTGAGGTGAGGTGAGGTGAGGGTGAAGCCAAGAGTCGAAGCGAGATGGATAAATTGCTACGGACTTAGATTACTTGCAGATTACCAAGGTAGTGGCAACGGCACCGACCTGGGTTCCGTATATAGCATCGTTGAATTATCATCAGGCTATTATACTACTACAGCCTGTCCATGTGACTGTCGTGTAATCAAACTCCATCTCTGACCGACCTGGGGTAGGTCATAGGGTCGCGCACATCGGCGAAACAGACGCGCCAGAGGAGGACGATAGACCTTGAATCAGCATCAGGCTGGCCGCCGGACTTTACATCCTGTCCGAGACTTTACATCCGGTCCGTATGACTCTATCCATCAATCACACTTCTGCTTCTTCTTGTCTGGGTCTCCGAGGTGTGGGTAGGCGAGCGCCCCCCAAGGTTGAGTGGGATGGATATTTACATTGTATCACACGAAACGAAAGATAAAATCAAAGAGTGAAGATGCAGAAGCAAAAGTAGATGTCGGAGCGATGGCACGCGGCAGCGGGTGAAACATCTGCCGCCTGGCAGGTGACATCGACCTCGAAAGATCGATCTCCGCAGGTGGTGAGATCGAGACCCAGCGCGCCGCCCAGCCGTTTCCCACGTTTCGCCAACCACTCGAACTAAGCATCGTAGCCAGCATGCAGAGTGCTGCTCTCTGCAAGCCAGCACAGGTGCGGCTTCGGCACCGGCAACGAGATTTGGATAGCGTCGTGTGCGTCCTGCTGCGAATAAAGACCGGGTGGAGAAGCCTTGTTTGACCGGCGATAAGGAAGACCACGGTCAATCAGCCGTCCAATCGCCTACAGATTCAGCCATGCCATCCTCTTCTTTTTCTTCCTGAAGCAAGTGTACGCGTCGGAAACGCCCGCATGGTGATTGCTCATCCCGTCTTTCATCATCGCAAGGGTTGGCGACACGCGGGATGACTGCCTGCCTGCCTGCCTGCCTGCCTGCCTGCCTGCCAAAACGTGGTGGGGGTTCTGTTGCAGATCTCAAGTCAATGAGTGGGATATCGTTCCATTTTACCCTCCGCATGTCGTAATGATCGTGTATCGGCAGATCCAAATCGAACCGAGCCGCCGTGTCCGCCAGACCAGATACTGCGAGATGGGAATCAAAATGCCTCAATCGTCGTCCGGTGGCGGCATCTGCGTAGACGTGATCCAGTTCTCCATAGTAGCCTGTCCGCCTCCCAAGCCCGCCCCCGCCGGTGCCTTGCTTCTATTATCCTTTCTTTTGACGACCAGACAGAGGACGCGGCCGTAGATCGAGAAGCCATCGTAGGTGGTGTCCATTGCCATCTTCTTCTTGTCGTCGGCCTCCTCTCCAGACGCGTCCCTCCGACGTTTGGAAAATGGTTCCAGGCCTGGGCCAGGGGACTCAGATGATGAACCCGTCGCAGCTCTGGCCCGTTTGGACCCGCGTGGTTCTTGGTCTACAAAATGGCCGTCGTCGGATTCAATTTCATCTGCATCCGGAATATCGTGAAGGCTGATACTGCCCCCCTCTTCATTGTCCTCCCGAGCAATCATGGGGCCATCCTCGACTTCGATAGGCGCATCGCCCGTACTTCCTGTTAGCTTCGACGAGTTCGACCGGATAGTTTTCTTCGTCGGCTCCTTGAAGTTCTTCTGCTTGAACAGCAGAGAATGCCGGGTGCTGGTCTCCGTCAAGAATATAGAAACCTCGAAATCCTCTGCTAACGTCAGCATCCATCCATCTATCCTCTCCGCGAGCCCCCCTATCATGCGGCCTACCTGCTACGACTACATCCTTGACCCCTCTCTTCTTACCCCCTTTTGCCTTGTTGCGCTCTTTCTCCTCGCGGAGCTTCGGGAGCACGAGAGGTCGAACGCTTTCGATAACGCGAGGGAGGATCGGGTTGCGCGAGTTGAGGAGCCAGCTCTCGGCGAGAGAAGGGTTGTCTAGGTAGATGCGGACCTCCAGGACAGAAAACTTGGTGATGCGCAGGTATCTGCGGATTGGTGCCATGGCGGAGCAGGCGGGCCGGGCATTGTGATGCTGGTGTTGTGGCAAGGTGGGAGGTGGGAGGTGGGAATCTTTTTCTCAAGGGCGGTCAGGCCTCGGCAGTTTACAGTACTAGGTAGCTACTAATGCATAAAACCACTTTTCGCACCAAAACTAAGGGTTATCACTTAAAAAAAAAAATCAACATTAGCCGGTGTTTATCAACAATATCTTCGGAGAAATAGGTATCTAAAACCGTCAAGCTTGAATCTGCTTGTTAATAGACCTGGATACAAAGGATGAAGCTGAAGTCGCTCCTTTTTTCAAACTTTTTTCAAAGACTTCTTCTCGAGTTAGCGAAAGCCAACTTTCTATATTTCTGCTCTGATTAACTATATCAAATAATAATATCATATAAAATCGTCTTATAGTCATCAACTTATTCTTGATATCAACAGGTTTCTAATTTTTATTTACCTCTCAAAACTTATGGTCGTAAAAAGTATAAGCTGTCAAACGTGAAGAGTTCTGGTGCAAAATAAAAGGTTGTGCATTAGTTGGCAGCTAAGAGGTGACTGACTGTACTGCAAGCACCACTCGCACCACCACTACGGAAATAAACAGAGACACGCCCACCAGACACATAGATCATCATTCATCCACAATGCTTATATCGATCGCTCTATAGAACAGGTCTTGCCCCGTCGTTTCCACCTCCCGGGAGGCACAAGGACACAATCAATGTAGATGTATGTAAGTAGTAGTCAGTCAGTTTTTGATACAGACTCGACAAGACTTACGATAGGATTCCCGACTCGATATCTGTGTAGCAGCTTTATTTTACTAACTGGTAGTGATTAATTCTAATGTATGATTGACGAGCCATGTTTTGAGCACTACCTGCCTACTCCGTAACCATTGGAACGAAAGTCTCGGCGCTCGGCAATCCAGGATCTCCTAGAATACCCCAACTCTCCCAATCAACGGTTTTGTCCGAGTATTCAAGCAGCTCTTCTTTGGATTCAAAGCATTGAGCCCATAACTCCAACTCATCGTCGTTTAACACCTGAGTTGGGATGACCATTTGCAAGTCCCAACCGACATACGAGATGTACGAGAAGCGCAGCGCCTTTTCGGGGTTTGGTGTGAGTGACTCGATATAATCCACGATGACTTCTTCGTCTCCGACCCATAAATTCTCTTCCTCGAACTGACCATTCCAGGTCATCTTCTGATAGAACTCCGGGATCCATGCTTTGCCCACATCTTCAATATTTTCTTTCTCCGCTTCGATAACGCAATACCAGTTTTTTTCCGTTGGATCACCCGCCCATCCGGCAGGTACGGCCGCTGTTCAGATTATCAGCTCCGCATCCCTTACTAAGAGACGATCTGAAAGATCAACTCACTCATGTAAAAGCCATTTCCCAATTGATTGATGCCTGCGCGTTCTGCATCGTAGAACTCATCTCTGTATGGCTTGTTGCCATCATTGATGAGCTCGGCTTCCTCCTATGATTCACGTCATTAATATAAGCTTATGCTATGCAGATCAAGTAGAACTTACTTCGCCAACTGTTCGATAACCGATGACTTCCCTGTCGTCGCTAAAAAGAAATGCTTGAGCTCTGTTGAAGAGAAAGATCAAGGCTAGCAAGATCGTGAAGATAGATTTCGAAGGCGGCATCATGCTTATAAATGTCCGAATTAGTTTAGAAGTTTATGAGTCTTTCATCGATAGGGCGAGCTGCCGAAAAGGAGCAAGCTTGCAAAAGGAGTGAATGATGAATGTAGTCTGCCATAACTGTAAGAAGGGATATCTCCTTTTTATAATGTATCTCACAGGCAGGTTCGTTATTCCTGCCCTACCATCAGCTGTTAGTTTGGTTCCTTTACTCGTAGGCCAGTACTCCCCCCTTAATTACTTGTAGCTATCATAGTGGGTATTTTGTGGAGGCTTTATAGATGCTCTATACTAGGTGATCCACCCATAGATCACTGTGTTAAACGTTGTATCCATAAGATCTAGTTGTACGAGGTACACTCCATAAGCTCCGTTTTTCTTAATTGGCCTCCTGCAAATTTTCTTCCTCTTGGAGAACCGGACATCCCATCGACGGGGCACCCCCTCGTTATTCAGCTATTTTGCTATTTTCCTTCGAAAAACCGAAGCCTCTCTGATAGTAGACCCTCGCCAGCCTTTGCGAATGGCTTTCTACATCTTCTTCTTACCAGAGAACTTCAAAACCACGAACCATCAAGCAATATCAGCTTGTTCCGCCAGCCTCCCTGCTCTCCAAAAGCATACGGAACACCCTACAATTCGTGCTACAGCAATGAGACCACAACATTGCCACCGGCACGATCAAATCACCTCCTTGGCGGACCTCACTTTCCCCCTATTCAGATCAATACGCAGTTTTGACTCTTGGGCACGCCAAGCAACGTTTCCTAGACATTCAGCAATCTCGCCCGTTTCCAATTTACGTACCTCTAGCAACCGAGTAAAATATTACGGCAATTTCGCCCTCTTAAATTCCCGCTCTTCACTCAGCCATATTGGAATTCGGCGCTAGCGAAACCTGTCGGTTTCTTATCCATCGAGTTCTTTCCAGGGCCCTCGCTTAGTTTCTCGCTTATGGGCCTCGTATGTCTTGTCCTCATTTCGGACCACTAATTTCCTCGCAAACCATGTTATATCAACAGTTATGAAATAATTGTCTAATTTTATAGGTTTATAGTATCCCCTTAAGTCAGCTAGTAGTCAAGAAAACAACTATACAATCGGAAACTTATCAAACCCTATTTTGTGACGACTCCACCTACCATTCCAGCTATACGAACGCAAAAAGATCATATCTGTTACAATAGACAGAAGAGAACAGCTTGAACGTTCAATCGAGAGCCTGCTACCGGCAAACCAATAAAATCTTTATCTTTTCCCCTTGTGGCCCTTTGTGTCTTGGCCCCTTCAGCCTTCAAAATGATCTTCCAACTCTTTTCGTTTTACGGCAACTTGTTTTCCCCTTGGCCCTCGCACCTAGGTCGCTCCCGCGGCCTACGGACATATCAGTTTGAACGACCTCGCAAAACGTTCAATTTCCTTACCTGGCCCCTCGATAGCTCTTCGGCTATTTTTGACTCCGCCATCGGTACCTGAATATACCAAACTATCGATATTCAGCTCGGTGATCACTTTTTATGTCAGAATTATACAGCTTAGCCTCCTTACTTGATTGGTCCTTCTTCTCGTTGTTTTCGGCCCAATTGTTAATCGCCGGCCGCTTCGCTCTCCTGTCCTGTTCTCCCTCGTTTTGCTTTAACAAACTTCCATTGCCAATTTTCGTTTTCAATTGTATTACCCTCGGTTTGGCTATTGTGTTCGCTTGGCCTCCCTCTCGCCCTTGCTTCGGAACGACTTTTAGCAATGTGGAAAGATTGCCAAGATATTACCACACTTCAGATCTTGGGTAGAAGACTGCCTATAGAAAGATCACCAAGTCCAAAAAAAGATCCAGTTTGAAAGACTGCTAAGGAGAATTTACCTCGTACGCGCCGCTCGGCGCCGCTCAGTATCTCTCTTGCTCTACCTACGCCTTTCCCTCAGCTCTGGCGAACTCCTGACATCACTTGTTTTCGCTCGCACAAGCAAAAACCTGTTTCCCTTACTCGGCCACCTCACTCTATCCCCGCGGTCATCACCTTGTCAGCTTAGCTAGCGCCGACCCTCTCTGAGATCTACTCCCTCTTTGAATACCTCAAGGCAAAGATAGAATCGATCGACATTCGTTATACAGGCTGCCAGAGCTTCCCTATCGATTTTCTCCCACTTCTTAGCTAACCGTCCTAATTGGCTATTACATCCCCAATGGAACCGGTAGGTATATCAATTGACCTCAAGTGCAATTGCAACAACTTGTAAAAGTTGAGGCCAATAGTCAAGTTCAATTGCAACCTTCGCCAATGGATTGCAACCTTCGCCGATGAATTACCACGATTTTCCTCACATATCTCGATCGGACGCTCCCAACTCAGCCATCATTCAAATAGTACTAGAACAGCAATTGCAATAGCTATAACCGCTAGTTGCAGTTGCAAGAACTTCAAAAAGTTGCCAGAGGATTCCTCGGACCGAAGATCCCCCGCTCTCTCATTCGAGCATCCCTACCTACCTTGAATACCTCCCTTCGTTTCAGCAGTCTTGTCAAAAGCTTATATTATGCACCTGCTCGGCACCTGCATTCAGAAATTACCTTGTTCAGACCTCCATACAACACTTCTACTGAACATCATTCTTTTCCCTGACAGCCACTTCTTGTAACAACCTGTTATCTGTTCACTTCTTCGGCACCTCGTCTCTCCGCCCCGACCCGACGGAATTCCTGATCCCTAACGTTGAGAATTCTCACCTTTAATTACAATTATTAAAATTCCCCCCTTGTCAGTCAGATCTATTTGACCTTATTATTGCTCGGCAACCTCGAAAGCCTTGGTTTCCCCCTACTTCACTCGTTCGAAATCCCCTTAGATTCACTATTCATCCTGGACTTCAGCACAGCCCAGCCTAGCGTAGTATACTCGGACAGAAGCCCCGGACCATTGTCCCCAGCCCAGCCAATCTACCGGTAGCTCTGCTAAAGAAGCCCTAGATACCAGGAATGATCCCCTACATTCGATTCGGACCCTTAGATGCATAGCATGTGCCCCGGATATGCACAGCTTTTTCGGCATGCCCCGGACCCCTCTCGGCATGCTACAGCCAGCTCATTCCCCCGCCTTGAATGCCCTAGATACATTGAACGGTCCCAACTTCTACTTATAGAATCGAGCCCCGGACCGGTAGCTTCTTTTTTGAGATTGACCTGGATATCGATTCTACTGATCCTGGCCTAAAATCGAATATCAAAAATCGAATCTAAACAATCGAATATGAACGATCGGATATAAAAAATCGAGTATAAAGAATCGAATATAGAGAATCAAATGTAAATAATCGAATATGAAAAATCGAGTGTGCAATCGAAATAGAGAAAAGAAGAAAAAGGGGACCTTGTGAATGAAAAAGAAGGACAAGAAAGGGAAACGAATGAAAACTTCAAGCTAGCAGTACGTAGCTAATAGCCGATAGGAAAGTGAACATAATTGACTTCCGACGTCCAAACGAATAGCTTATGCGAAATACATCGATTGATTTGCAATTATTTATTATATTCAATGCAATTTTTATATACCAATACAGTACCTATACGATTGTATACTTACTCCGCAATGACGTAATAGATATACTAGGTGCATTTTTTTCTGCCTGGCCAGTGCCAATATAGCGTGCCTCACGCTCTCACAGGGATAAACGACAAACAGGTTCATCACGATACTTCCAACTTCCATAGCTGTACATTGACTATCATCAATTGGATAATTCATCGTCACAACACCTGTGGGCCTTTTCTATCCTATCTCGCCAAGGATCCCGGAAGGAATCGGATCCGGCTGGCTATCGATATACCTTATATCCAATCTCCCAGGAAATTTAATATTCACATTGGAAAGCCAGCTGGCGATACAGAAAAACTGCGAAGAGTGAGAAGACTGCGAAAACGGCTCTTGGTACCTATCTGATTCTCTGATTATCTCAATATCTCCGCTTTCTTCCCACCGGCTGAGGAATATGAGCTTGATACTGGGTACGAGTACGAGAACGAGAACGAGAACTGCCCGAGCTTTCCGAGGCTCTCCGTTGTTGACAGGACTTCTGAGAAGGGGTGTTTCAACACAGGAACTTGATGCTTCAAAAGGAGGCACGTTTCCCTAATTCCTAATTCTTTTCGGCACTTACTGACTACAACTCACAGACCGAGAAAGGGTCGTCATCTTAGGGTCAGGGTACGTTTAATACCCCGATATAAAACTCACTGCTCATGCTTTGTAGATGGTCCGGCTTCGTCCTCTCGCGAGAGCTAGATAAGAAGAAGTTCCAGACAGTCGTCGTATCACCCAGATCCTACTTTGTCTTCACGCCTCTTCTGGCATCCACCGCCGTGGGCACTCTCGAGTTCAGAAATACGCTCGAGTCCGTCCGTGCTCGTGGCAAAGGTGTGGAGTTCTTCCAAGGCTGGGCTGATGATGTCGATTTCAGCCAGAAGAAGATTGCCGTGGAGGAGCGGAGTGCTAGGAGACCGCTGCATGCTTCTGGGAAGGCCTTTGAGGCGTCGAGTATCACTGAGGCTGATATCTCGTACCGGGGTAAGAGGAAGGGCAAGGTCTTTGAGCTGGATTACGACAAGTTGGTGATTGCCGTGGGCTGCTACAGCCAGACCTTTAACACTGCGGGTGTGAGAGAGAACGCATTCTTCTTGAAGGATGTTAGTGATGCTAGGAAGATCAGAAAGCGGATTCTGGAATGTGAGTTACGTTCAAGCGCATGACGGACGCCGTTAACACTTCCCAGGTTTCGAGGCAGCATCTTGTCCAACAACTTCGGAGAAGCTCCGTGACCAGCTTCTGAACTTTGCCGTCGTTGGAGGAGGCCGTACGTCTATCTTCTCCCATCGTGATCCTGCCTACTAATAAGCCCCAGCAACTGGGGTAGAATTTGCCGCTGAGCTCTTCGACCTCTGCCACGAAGACCTTAAGAAGCTCTACCCGCAATTGATTCCCCATATCAAAATATCCATCTACGATGTGGCTACCAAGATCCTCCCTATGTTCGACGCCTCCCTCGCCAAGTACGCCATCGACCTCTTCCGCCGCGACGGCATCCAGATCAAAACAGAGCACCACATCCAATCCCTGCGACCCGGTCTTCCCGGCTCCGACAATCCCGACAATGACGGTGGCTGCTTCACTCTGAAGACGAAGGAGGATGGGGAGGTTGGGGTAGGCATGTGTGTGTGGTCGACGGGGCTTATGATGAACCCATTCGTGCAGGCTGCTCTGGACGACGTGCACACCTACCCGACCACCTCCGCAACTCTGGCCCCCGGGACGGAAATGGAATCTCCAGGAACCGAGAAGTGGCATCTGAAGCGCCACCCGCGATCCGGAAACCTGATGGTCGACGAGCGGTTCCGCGTCAAGCTTACGTCTCGGAGCAGCGCGCCTACTGACCAGAACGTCCCAGAAGCGACGATGCAGGACGTCTTTGCGATCGGTGATGTCTCGGCCATGGAGAAGACCCAGCTACCGGCTACGGCGCAGGTTGCGAACCAGGAGGCGAAGTGGTTGGGTAAGCGGCTGAACCAGGGTACGCTCACGGAGGGTGCGGGCTTCAACTTCAAAAACCTGGGCGTCATGACATACTTGGGGAACTGGAAGGCGGTGATGCAGGCAGACGATGGCAAGGGCATCAAGGGGTGAGATTCCCCGGCCGAGAACCTCTCTCTTCTGTTCCAATGACTGATGTCTGTCTGTATAGGCGAATGGCGTGGATCATCTGGAGAGGCGCCTACCTGACCCAAACGGTGAGCTGGAGGAACAGAATTCTGATTCCAATCTACTGTACGTCCTCGTCGTCGCCGTCTCCCCCCGCTCCCTTTATTCTTCCCAAATACTCCTTGACTGACGGGCTCCAGGGTGCATCAACTGGATCTTCGGGCGCGATATCTCGCGATTCTGATATACCGTATGCTATTCCTTTTCCTGCACTGCTATCTCCAATGCGCTGTTTCGATAGATAAACAAACACCAACCTTTTCTTTCCTTTCTCTCCTTTCCATAGCCCTTGAATCATGGTCACAGCATAGTCGGCATCGAGTCGTTGATGGGTAGACTAGATTTCGTGATCTGTCCTCCCGCTGCATCATCGATTTAGATGGCTCTGGCTCTGGCTTTTATTTCTAAATAAACCTCTTGCGAGTACGTGCGGTACTCGCCACCATAGCTCTCATGCATCAGCCTTTCTGGAAAAATAGAATGAAAAATAAAACAATTCCAGCCCTCCTATGCCTGCCTGCCTGCCTGCTTCCTCATCTCCAAAGCTGTGACTGAAAGACGCTGAGACGAAGAATCTTTATTCTATTTCGTTTCACTCTGCTCGAGAGTCGGAATGGGGATGGGGCTGTAAGGAGGGGTATGTACCTAAGTGCTTCGGGAACTTGAATGCAGGGTTTCAATTAAGCAGCGCACCCTGCAGATTTCGGTCGATTATATCCAGATCCGCAAATTTTCCAACCCGTTTAAAAGCCTTCTTACATTAGCGGTAGGAAAAGTAGAGCGGAAGTTAGCTGCTATATATATATTGGCGCTTTTTGAAATGGATCAGATTGGATCGGGTGAATGAATGTCGTCTTGGAAGGGAGAGGAGAGGAGAGGATTTGGAACCAGAATGAATGGAAGTAGAATCAAGAAGGGGATTGAGATTGAGCTGTCAAGTACTGCGAATGCGCAGGCTAGGATGGGATCTACGTAGTATAACTACTCCGTACATCTCTCTCTTTCTCTTCTACGGAGGTACCTACTTACTAAGCGAAAGATAATCAGAAATACTCTATCCGAGGAAACGCCTATCTCACATCATCGTGACGATCAATTGTCCACTGCGAATTTCGAAAGTGAGAGTTGGATAAGGAAATAGATTAGTATCTGGCCATGGTTTTAGAGCGCTGGCGTAGGCGGTCTTCGCTTCTCATTCCGAGTCCTATTCTCTATGAGAGAAATGGATTTTGATTTCCCGATTCCTTGTTCTTTTTCTGCTTCGCGCTTGCCTGCTTGCTTGTTTGTTTGTTGCAGCGCCTGGGTTAGGTCTAGCCCACTTTCCGGCACTTTCCCCGGATAAGCACCAAAAAAATAACCTTTATAAAGAAAATAGGAGGGAAATTTTCATGGAACACGCAATCTCGCTGTGATAGCTCAGCGGTAGAGCGGAGGATTGCAGCTCCTCAGGTCATCCGTTCAATCCGGGTTCGCAGCTGATAGTGAAGTTTTTGTCAATGTCGATTTTTGGGACGGATCTATTTCGATTGGGTTTCCAGTCCGTACAGCCGGCGTTCTTTTTTGCAGCTGGGAATTGGGATTGGCTACGTGTCCTTTGTTTTAAGGCTTGAGCGAATGCTCAGAGGATGCTCTCGGGGGGGGGGGTTTTTATTCTTTCTATTTTTCCATGACAGCTACGCCAGACCTGTATTGTGTACATGTAGATAATTGATCGGGTCATCGACTCTTGCATTCATGTCTGCTTCTTCCTTCACATACGATATTGAATCCCAGCCCTTGGGTTCCTGACGCGGGCATAAGCGAGCGCATCACGTTTTCTTTCGATGCTAGAATCGGACCCCGAAGCAATAATTTATAGTCATCTCTTGCATGGAGACCACCCCCATGCAACGCATGGCTCGAAAACGGTACTCCTTAAGAAGACTCCCGCAATAGACTCTTTAAACGATGATCCAGAAGATCCCGAGCGAGATGGCATAGCTTATCTGGCCATGGAAGAGTGAGCTAGCTCCCTTGCATGCGGCCTTTTTTCGATGGTTTTGCGATATCCTACATACTCCCTTGAAGAGGAAATTGCGAAGTGCTATCAGCAAGTTACCGATACCTACCATCAATCCTTTAGCGCTATCTTGATTAGCATATTCGCATTTCTCGGACTTGTATATAGCCGGAGTCCCATGACGCTCGCCTTCTAGGTATGTATTCGATTAGACTTTGCAACCTGGATCTCCAGCACATGCTTGATTACCTACTTATGCTTCATGATCACTGAGAATCGTGCTGATCTAGAGGTTTCTAAGCCAATATCTTAGCATTTTTGAAGGAGTCGGAGCACCTTGTTTTGTTTTCACAATTGATAGTTATGCTGTCTTATCGGACGGCGGACGGGCAGCGGCTAATCATAGAGTTCTCTTGTGCCAGTGCAGAGAGATCGCGGTAGTTTGAGCCTCAAAATAAACGTGTTGCCGTCGATTTCATATATGTTATCGTTCTGCTCGAGAATCACCTTCGTTGTGACGAGTGTGGAACCTCGCACGTTCTTAGGAGCTCTTTAAACATCAGTACGATTCTGCAAACTCTGAGCTTCTCATCATATCTATTGCCAAAAAAAAAAAATTGTACCAATTATAACGCTCACAGCGATTGTACTTGTCCGTTTGCTTCGGTACCCATCGACTCAGGGATCGTCTTTCTAGCTTGTGACTTATATGAGGTCTTCTTGCGGGTAATATTTCATTAACGCAAAACCATTCAGTGTTGGCTTAAATAGTTATGCGCCTCGCTACATCTTGAGAACTTGAGAAGTGATTCAAGTGAAGGCCAACGTAAGGTGTGTGCATATAGACTCGCAGGTGAGTTGGAGAATATCAAAGAGTGATACCGATGAGATGGCGAATATGCGTTTCTTTTCTGTCTCCAAGCTTTTTTGAAACCATGCATAAAACACGCATAGGATTAGAGATCGAAGAGCAGCAAACTTAACGTGGTGATTCAGTCTACATTATCGGCTGGCGCCAGGGGATCGTCGCCTAGCTGATCAAACATGTTGATTAAGTAGTGTAGCTGGCCAGATGTCCTATTGTATTTCACCGAAACAGATTATATGTGACATGCTTATCTTCGAGGGCAGGCAGTATATGTAACAGTATATGTAACGTGAAGCATGAACTGTCAACCAGCTTCTTGTTGCCGCTTCGCTTGCTTTCCCTCACTGAATTTCGCACTTACCATATGCAGCAATTCCTCGGCAAGTGAGGTCCAGAAACTCGTTAAACGCAATCCCTTTCGTATCCTCTTTGGATGGGTCCTCTGATCTCGCACGCCATGGAGAGAAGGTCTTATTCCCTAAAAAGTTCTTAGTAGCCGCAAATTCCACTGCCACAATGATGATGTTCCTACATTCAACGCGCAATGTAAAAGCGCCATATAATGCTAGTGCAAATATTTATGCAGAGAGACGTTCGCTGGTTGATGCCTCCGCCTCCTGATCTCGTCTAGCATCCTTCTTCTGACTTTATCAATTGCATACTGCTCTGTCCGAAAGATCCTGCACTTGCCTCTTGTACAGAGTAGTGAAGCAATGGAGTAAATCAATGCTAATGCTACAATCCTCAGTACATGATATCTGCCAACGAGTATTTAAGAGCACATAGAGCCAGTCTTGTAAAAGTAAAAGGATGGATTTCAACCTTTGAAGCTCAACAAAAAGCCCAGAGAGCACTAACAACACATAATACAATAGCTCTCAATTATCGCAGTCTCAAATGATCAGCGGGCGTATCATCCAGCTTAAACTCTACCGCTACCTAGAGAGTGCAGAAAAACCAGCCGGTGGAGCGAATAGTCAGAATCACTGTCATTGCACTGCATGCTGCCGACCACAGGAATGATATCCATCGTCTCTCTGTTTCATGATTCATTTTCGCCTTTTTTTTTTCCTTTTTTTTTGGCAGCCATCATTGCCTGGCGCTCATCCCACGCCCTTCCTCGCTTGAACTGTCTACTAACTTGCGCACAGCAATAGCAGCATTTCCAACAGGCCTTACAGAAATCGAGATGCACCCTAGGCCTTCTTCCATTAGATTCTTTTATCAGCATCTTCCGCGCGAGGGTCTCCCACTGAAGACTCACAGTCCGCGCGAACCGTCTTATTCAAACCCCTCCGTTCCATCACTATACTTCCCAGGAGCTCAAGCGTCTTCCCTCTTCACCCTTAAAGAATATCGCCTTAGAATCATCCTAGATAGGCAGGTGGTGGAAAGTTCAAGGGAATCGGAACGTCTCTCAAAGGACTCCTCCCCGAACTCAAAGGTGTAGATATAACCCAGCACTACTCCGAGCAAAGCGCCAGATCAATACATGAAAGATGTAGATGAATAACTGGAAAAGAGCCCGCCTATTCAGTCATCATGGTCGCGCAATGTTGATCTCTTCTGCCTCGATATATCCTCCCTCTGGCCGTCTGATCAAAACTACTCCCTGTCATACACAGTATTCGTAGGAAGTAGATCGAGTATAGTACTAGAAAGAGGAGTCGACTTTGCTATCAACGGCTCCATGATTATTGAATGAAATTTTGGTACCATTTATCTATTTTAACTTTCTGTTTTCCAACTTGCAATATATAGAAACGGTGTGACCATGCCATTTGCTGACCGCCTCTTTTCAATTTCCTTCCGCAATACATCGACGAGAAAAGGAGAATCCAAAACCATCCAAGTCTTATCCAATGTATACAGAATGTTCGACGACCATGTACTGGTACCACTATTACTACAATGTTGGTTACGTATGCACCTTTTATACCCACCCGCCGAGATCCTAGGTTCGCTCACCAGACATTATGCTCGAACAATCCCTTCCCTCACTCTATCAGGATTCAACGTAGAAAACGAAAACCAACTAAACAAATAAGCCCAAAACAATTTCACCTCTAAAGTTTCTCTTTCCCCCTTCATATATAACCAACCACCCTTTATCTTTCGCTCTCCTCTTCTTCCTCTCCAAGAGCACAACACAAACACAAAACTGCATCCCCATCCGCACCATCCAAAAGCCTCCATAAGCCCGGCGAAGACCTGTGTTATCCTATCGGTATCCATTTCGATATTAACGAGCCCCATTCCAATTCCATCCCTCCAAACCTCCAACCTCAACCAATTACAACTTCCAACTTGCAAATAAGTCACTATCAACTTCTCTCCACTGTCATCATCCGGCTAGCTATCCATCATACCTAGCGCACCGACCGACTAATCTAATCCAACCCGCCCGCCATCTTTTTACCTCAGCTCAACATCCTCCAACAGATCAAGACCCTAAACCCTATGTTCTGACCTGACCTCTCTTGGGAGTTCGAAGATTGGATTGCTCAACCTAATATTCTGGTGAGTGGTTAGCTTTTCTTCTTCATGGCTGACCAAGTATCCTTCTTTAAGGCGGAAGATTTTTAGGTCGTCGCCATGGAAATGGCCTTTGATGGGTGATCTGTTTATTTGGCGTTTGGTATATGACTTCCCCTCCCCCACTTACAGATTCCAGCCAGTCTACCAAGAAATTAATTAAACAACTTGCTTAATACACGACTAAAAGTATTCATTCATTCAGATGCGAAGAGCCCCCCCCTTTCTGTGATACACCAACAAAAAGCTTCACTATCCTTCCTCCACCACCCATCTTACCAAATATATAATCCACCACCATAATACAACCACCCCCCTCCCCTTAAAATACAAACAAACAAGACTTAATAGATATAACCCAACAAGTCAAAAACCACCCATCAATACAGCCTCCTCTGACACCCGAGCGTACATACGGTAAAGCAATATATGCATCCATTCCATACCTAGCTGCTAGTACTAGTACTGGTACTGCCTAGTCTGCCTAGCTAGCTACTTCCAACCTCAAACGTCAAACCTCCCAAGAAAAATCATCAACCACACTTTGATCCATCTCGATAACCCTGCCATACTATCTATACACTATATCATACGAACAACAACCATACTCCCCCTATTTGATGTTGCAGCCAAAAAAAGCTCGACTTGCTTTACCAAAAATCTTGATCCACCCACCCAAGCCGACCGCAAAAACTTCAGCTTGGTCCCCTCCCCATCATTCCACCTCCACCTCCACCTCCTTCTCCCCTTCCACATCTCTTCCTCTGCGTCTCCTCTTCCCTCCTCCACCGCCACTACTCCCCTGAAAGATGTCCGCAACAGCCCCAACCTTGACCCTCTCCCCAATACCCCCCATCTCAACCCCTAACAGCGGCTCGCTCGCTTCACTCCCAGCCCGCACGAGCGGCACCACCGTCGGCTTCCCATCGATGAAAGTTATGACAACCGGTAACACCGTCTTGGTCCCATCAAGAACCGTCGTCAAACGACTAATAACATTCGGCTCATCTCTCTTCACACTACCCACAGCCCCAGCCGTGACCGCCTTCCCGCTTGAAACTTCTCTAAACACTCCGCCCAGCGCGGGAAGAGGAAACACAGGCGCTGTAGTGGTGGGTACGACCTGCGCCGGTACCGGAAGACTTACTAACTGCGTATTTCCAGCTACACTTGCAAGAATTGCGGGCTGAGTAGCGCCTTGGACGCTACCAGCGAGCGCTGCAGCCGTCAGAGCTGGGAAGCTGTTGGGTATGGCGTTACTTGCGACGTTGCCGATGGCCCCGGTGGCGGCAGGGATGATATCGCTGCCAGCGTTGCCAACGAGAGTTATAGCAGAAAGTATCAGCCCCCCACCGGCTGCTGCACCATTCGAGAGAACGCCACTAGCAAGAACAATAGCCGAAGAGAGGAGATTATCACCAGCGCCGACTATTGGGGAAACTTGAGGAATGGTAGTGGTGACAAGATTACTCAGGACTGTAGCCTCGGTTGGGAGTGCATTACTCGCGATGTCTCCAATCCGAGAGGTAGCTGATGGGACGAGGCCAAGAGCAGCAGTGCTTCCAGCTGCTGCACCATTCGATAGCAAGCCTCCAGCAAGACTCGTCGCAGAGGAAAGCAAGCCACCACCGGCCGCGGAACTTGTCGCGACCCCCAGAGCAGAATTTGCAGCTCCGAATGCAGAGGAGACCCGTCCCATGACGCTACTGAGGATAGCTTCAGAAAGACCATTGAAATTTCCAAGAGCAGAGTTAACCTCGCCCATTACGTTGTTCAGGATGCTGTTTGCGAGGTCCGCTGCGGCAGTGGCTTGAGTCAATGGTCCGACAGACGAGGTTCGAAAAGCCTGGAGCGACTCGGTGCTCGCTCCTACTTCTGGTAGTAAAGAGACGGCAGGAATTAGGCTTGGGCGGCTGGCCGTAAAACTCGCCATGGTCAATGGGACAGCTGACGTGCCTGATGTGAAGCCGGGTCTATATTCATCTCGTTAGGTATACTTCACTGATGTTTTGCATGATCGACTCACCCAGAGGAGCCACCAAGAACAGGAGCAGCAGATTTCAAAACATCACTCGGGGGCCCAGCAGTCGGACTCGGGACACAGAACCAACCTTGTGAACAATGTCCACATGCCCAGCCAAATCCACAAGGAGCACTCTGAGCCGATGTGTGAGAGGGAGGACAGAATACGCCATCTGGACACTCAGAGCATGAGTATCCTGCATTTGGGCAGGGGTGACTGGAGGAAGCAGAATCAGCAGAATCAGCAGATCCGCCATATAAGCCCACCATCGAAGAATCCGGGATCGTGGCGTTGGCTATACTGGATGTCGGAGGACAGTCTTCTGCTCGTTGGGCCAAGACACCGTTTGCGCATGCTACGAGGGCTGGTTGCGGGGAGGAAAGAGATGAGGTCGGTGCTACCGGGTAGAGCTGTGTTACTGGACATACGCTTTAATCTATTAGCATGCAATACAGCTCTCCAAAGTCTGATGGGAGTACGTACCTGACAGTCTCGGTACTAGTAACAGTAACAGCAGCCACAAAACTAAACAGTGTCGCGGTCTCTTCATAATGCGTACTATGCCACGTCTCGGTCACAGTGCAAGTCTCAGTGGTTGGAGGCGGACACACAGCACAGCTGGAAGCAGACGAACATGAGGATGTCGCTGCTGTCGAAGAAGCTGCATTCGACAGGCTGGGGGCCGATGTGATGTTGAATGGCAAAGAAGGTGTTGTTCTTGCGCTCGAGGCATTCGAAAAGCTGGGAGAAGATGTGACATTGAACGGCAAAGAAGGTGTTATTCTTGCGCTCGAAGCATTCGATAGACTGGGGGCAGATGTGACGTTGAAGGACAAAGAGGGTGCTGATGTTGCGCTCGAGGCATTCGTTGCGTTCCAACTTCCGCCAACTGGCGCCGATGTAAATGCACCCGTCCCATTGCCTTGCGACGACGGAACTCCCGCACCCATATTCGGTCTAGAGCTTCCCGTTCCCATCAGACTCCCCACAATGCCCGTCGCAGCACTGACGACACTGCCCGCCACACCAGTCGCCTGATCCAGCCCACCGCTGACCTCCTGTAACGTTAGCGGAACCGAAGACACGGAATCTGTAACTCCTGAAGGCAAGATGGTGGCCGCTCCAGAAGCCAAAGGCACTACTGTATAGGTTAAGCCCGAGGCGGCGCTTTGTGCCATACCAGCAATATCCGATCCGCCATTCAGTAATGCCGCAGCGACTTTTTCGACCGCATCCAGGACGCTGCCGGCTGGCGGGTTGACGGCTTTTATTACGCTTGATGGTTTTGGAGGACTACATTGCATCATAAGCTATCTTTCATCTCAAAATATCCGCGCTGTCGACATAACCCTTCTACTGTGATCAAGTCGGGTAAGGAAAGAGAGGAAGGGAGAGGGACCTACTTCCAGGGCATATCAAGCGTAATTACATCCCTCTTGCTCAAAGATTCATCATCGATTCCTGTGCCGATACCGGATTGTGGGCTGGGATTGAATTCCTCCTGGCAAGTAACGACAGTGAGCATGGAGAGGATGAGGACCACGTAGGTGTTTTGACGCAGGTTTGTCTGCATGGTTGGTATTAGTTACCAAAGACCAGACGACCAAAACAGAAAATCAAAAGTAAGGTTGTCTGTGCAATGTTCCAATGATGGAAAACGGAAGCGAACAAGATGAGCAAGTGTTGATGTACCAGAATTGAGAAGCCCAAAATTTAGCAGAAACACGCACGACAGGACTGGGGAGAATTGGAGGAAAGTATTTAGGGATTTGGAATCTCATTTCAGCTTTGGAAAGAGTGCCTCGGCAGATACTAGAGATCGCCCCTTCTTGTCGTTTCTCCATGAGCTGGAAAGCACCTGCTTCCTGCGTCTTCGCAACTGCAAAAAGCCCAGTCGCATGTCCCGAGAAATCGTCTTGCGCGTTAGACTGTCGGAAATTCCCTATTCTCCATTATACTTCCCCACGTCAACTACCTCGAAGAGAAAGAAGAATGAAATGTAGGAATTGGGTTTTTATTCCGAGAAAACCTAGCTACTGATCATCATAGTAGCCATCTCAGCAACTGAACACCTCGAATGCGCGAAAAGATTATATCCCTTGATGAATTCAGTCCTGGCTCTAGTAACGCTTTCCCGCACGCAGAACATCTCCAAACTCATCCAGCGGGCTGCGGATGAGCTTCGTCTCCTTCCACAGGTTGGGGGTGAGGTATCCGTATGTGTTGCCGACAGCGACGAAGGTGGCCTTGAGGGTGTTCTCGAGAGTCTTGGTGGAGCCGGAAGAGGAGGTGTAGATGTCGTCAACACCGGCGAGTTGGAGGAGACGCTTGACAGCTGGGGAGGCGACGAGACCGGTACCACGGGGAGCTGGGATGAGCTGAGGCGGCAGTTAGCGTTGATTTCTCATCGCTCGAATAGAAAGATACATACTCTGACCGATACGGAACCACACTTTCCAGACTCCTTGGTGGGAAGAGAGTGAGGAAGACCCAGGTTGGTACCCCAGTATCCACGGCGAATCGGCAAAACGCTCAACTTGGCGATGATGATGGCAGCACGGATAGCAGTAGCGACTTCCTTGGATGTCTTGATACCGAGACCGACGTGGCCCTCGGAGTCACCGATGACGACGATGGCCTTGAATCGAGTTCGTTGACCGGCACGGGTTTGCTTCTGAACGGGCTTAATCTGTGATGGGGGGCGGATGTCAGTATATATCTTGATTGATATTTGCGCTCTCTCCCTCAACTCTCCGGGCCTTCAACCCGAACCAGTCCACAAATTTCCCGTCCAGATGATATTCTCCCGACTAACATGTCGCCTCCACTGCGCGCTTCGCGCGAGTTGCCTTCTAGGAAAGGAAATTGGCCCTCCTTACCTTCATGACCTCGTCCTTCAGCTTGGGCAGGAAGAAATCGACAATCTGGTACTCCTTGATGGGCAGACTGTGCAGGTAGATCTCCTCCATGCTCTTGATCTTGCCGTCCTTCACCAATCGGCCCAGCTTGGTCACTGGCTGCCACTCCTTCTCCTCGTTCTTGTTGGCACCGCGACGGGGTCCTCGTCGTCCGCGTCCGCGTCCACGGTCGCCGCCACGGTCACCGCCGCGCGATCCAAAACCTCCTCCGCGAGCTGCTGCTCCGCCTCGTGGTGCGTCGGCCATGGTTGTTGGGGAGTTGGGTTGAGTTGAAGGGATGGGGCGAAAACTTGGGTCGAAGTGTTGTCAGAGGTTTTAAAAGAGGCCTTTGGGGGAGGGGGAATTTTGGCAGTGTGGGATTGAGAAATTAGGCGAGCTTGAGGCGGCCGCTAGCGTCAGAGCTTTTCTGAACCACATGTGGGGCAGTTCACGGAGAGAGATTTTCCGTGCCGATCTTTTGGCTGCAGCCATGATGTGCAGTGAGTGCAGTGCCAGGAGGTAGATGAGGAACCTGAAGCTCCAATACGAAACTCCTCCGGGGCAGCCAGCCAACATCTTGGCCTCAAAAACAGCTCATCTCATCATGTTACCACTTTCATCTACACTCTTCTATTTCTATCGCTCCAAAGAGCAAGAAGACCGAAGCACACACCTCCTTTCCATCCCAACACGGCACAGCAGCACGGAGAGAAAGCCAAATCCATTACTCCCCAAGGGCTACTGGCAAGAAGGGAATTAGAATCAGAATCGATAAGTTCTATTGGGTTTATTGGGTTTAGACGTCTGCTGCCTGCATGCATGAGGAAAATCCTGGAGAAGGAGATGGAGAAGAAGGAAGAGGAGATGGAGATGAAGATCCCAACATCGTGTTGGTGATATGTTCGCCAGAATTGGTATGGGATGGTGGTATAGGTAGCTATCTACCCCGATCCCATCACCATTCCAACCAACATGTCCATGTCCATATCCATGTCCAGATCCTTGTCCATGTTCATGTCCAATGTCAACATCCGTTAGCCCGTTAGCCCGTTAGCCCGTCTCCTCCTGTTCCTCCTCCTCCTCCTCCACCTTCTTTTCCAACTCAACTTTCAAGTCACACCCACCAACCCCGCCATTCGACCCAGCCTCGAATAGGAAGAATGCTCGCGGGCGCTTCCAATCACAACACGGGCCTCGCTTAAGCGAAGACAGGCTGCATGAGTGTGAGAGTCTTCACTCATCTTCACTGGGGGGTTGACGATCATTAGATAAATGGGCATTTTGAGACACTCAATGTTCGACTCACATCCGTCCATTCAGTCCAACGGCACGCTATGAGTGTGTGAATATAGTAACTACTCAGGTGCACGTGAGCAGCTCCCCTTTTTTCCTGCAATATATCAGGGTCAGTAGTTCCAAAGTTGGGCTGGGCTGGGCTGGGCTGGGATGAGAGGAGATGGGACGACCACGAGGGCTGGATTCCATGCTGATAGAAACTATCACCGCATCGCATTTACAACTTCATAATATTCCCTCGTCTCTTTTCGTCTCGTCTCGTCTCAGTCTCTGATGCGGACCCGACCCGACCGGACTCGATTCGATTCGATTCATCCTCACTACTACGACTTCTATCACCACCACCATCACCACCACGAATACTTCGGAGACATGTCTTTCAGGCACCCGTACCCCAATGTGTACAAGTTCTGCAACCAGTTCGCAGCAGCCGACCAGCCTTCGCCCGAGCACTCCTCCCGGAGCCAGGGCCTGAGGAAGAGCGGGCCGCGGAGCAAGACGGGCTGTTCCACATGCAAGTATGTTTGTGATATATGATTATGACTGATTGTATCTGGATTTACATATGATATATGTATGTATATATAGATTTTGATATATACATATGTATTGATGCATATACATGGATACATTACCCCCGCCCCCGAAGTATATCTTCATCTTCGGTTACCCCACCCACTAATGTAAACACAGACAACGCCGAGTCAAATGCGACGAGGCAAAACCCGGATGCGTCCGCTGCCAGAACCTCAGCCGCCCCTGTGGTGGCTACGTCCCCGAAACCTCAACGACTGATACCCCCGTCCAAGAACCCCCCATTGCAATCCATTCTCGCCCGTTCCTACTGCTAGGGAAAACCTACTCTCTCTCTTCGGCCATCCCCGGAACTGCGGACGAACGCCGTTATTTCCACCGCTTCTGCGACAAGACGGCACTTGAGATAGCTGGATCCTTCGATCCGACCTTCTGGACCGAAAAGGTGCTGCAACTATGCCATTCAGATGCGCCCATCCGCCATGCAGCCATAGCTTTAGGCGCCCTGGCCGAGAGCCTCGAGGTGACGAGTTTGCCAACCAGACTGAGTCTGAGTGGATTCCCGCAGACCGACCAGCATTGCCTGGATGAGCACCACAAATACGCCTTGCGCCAGTACTCCAAGTCCATCTCAGCCCTCCGGATCATCCTCGCAGATGGCCGGCGCCACCTGAGGACCAGTTTGACGAGTTGTGTGCTATTCATGACCTTCGAGGCCATGCAGGGCTGCTACGAAGGCGCACTCACACACCTCCGCGGCGGGTCGCGACTGCTAGCCGACTGGCGAACTGCCCGTCGCGGCCAGTCTTCTCGTCTATCACAAGACTCACTATCAGAGATCCAGGACGGTCTCATCGACGACCTGGGCCGCATGTTCGCTCGTCTCGATGTCCAAGGTCTCTTTGTGCCCCCTCCCTTCCCTATGCCCGAGTCCGACTGGGAAGACGTGATCATCTCGGACTCCTTCTCCAACGTCGAGGAGTCCCGCGAGAGTTTCGACTTCCTGATGCAAGGTATCGGCCAATTCTACCGTAAATCCGTCGCCCATGCCCAAACGGACCCAGAGCGCTTGCGGACAGAGGGGTGGGTGCAGCAGTACAACCACTACAGCACGCAGCTCGACCAGTGGCGCGCTAGCTTCCAGGCGGCATTTGCAAAAGAGGTCAGGAACGGGGGGTGCAGGGCCGAGAGCGTGGATGTGCTGAGTATCTATTTCAATGTCGCAACGGTATTATTAGCGAGTAGCCTGGAGCACGAGGAGAGTCTGTATGACGAATACACGGAACTGTTCCAAGAGATTGTTACCAAAGCGCGCACGCTACTCAGCACCCCGGTATCTTCATCAAGCTCAACGCCTCCAAGTTCAACGTCTCCAAGCTCTTCATGCAGGTTCACGCTGGACATAGGCACTATCCTCCCGCTCCTCGTCACCGCCACCAAGTGCCGGGATCGGAAAGTGCGACGGCAAGCGATTGCGTTGCTGTGGAGTGAAGCACGCAGAGAAGGCCTGTGCTACGATACCATCACAGTGGCGCGATTGTGTGCGTGGCTCGCAAGCATCGAAGGGGAGGGCATCACAGACGACGAGGTCCGCATCGAGGAGAACAAGCGGTACCTGGTCAGCTACCTGCATCTCAGCTCCGAGGAACGCTGGCTCGCCGTGCAGCTAACCAGCGCCGTCGCAAATACCAGCGGGAATCACACGCACAAGGAGACGACATTCTCGTGGTAAGAGCGAGAGCTTATGATATCTACTTAGGGAGGGGGCTATCGGGCCTCAGAGAAGATCAGGTGGCTGAAGTAGGATGCGAGGCTCTCAACCCGTAGCTGGAGACGAGGCATCGATCCACTAGTGTGAGAGCATTTCAACCTCTCAAGATTGAAGAGCGGTCTTGGGATGGCTGCAAGGGCGCAGTCGGAACCAGTATGGATGCTATGTTCTGTCCTGTGCAAAGAAAAAAAAAAAAAAAAAGGGCTCTTGGCTTAAAAGATCCTTCTCCCCGTACCTCTTGAGAGGTGCCATGAATCTCCATCTCGGCGGCGAGAGTCAGCCCGGAACAGCGAGAGAGAAAGGAGGAACCGCAGCTCACGAAAGGTACGAGAAATCGCATCACACAAAAGCTGAACCCGACAGACAGCGGGACGAGCAGGGCGAGGAAGGAGTGGAGCATTATCATGCATGCACCATTGATACAGTAGAATCAAGGGTTAAAGGTGTTGATTCTAGTAGGAGCGAGCTGAGAGCTATATGCTATGGGAGTAGTCAAGCCGAGAGGCTTGCTTAATCCCATTCCAGGCATGGTACGGGAAGTGGGGCAAACCAAATAATCATTTATTTCAACAACAATCAATCTTTTTCAAACATAGATTTATTTCATTGCCGCTTCCACTTCCGTTTGCAATGCCTATTACACTACACAGCCCTCAACCTGGCTCCTAGTCCATGACTCTACGAGCCTCTCCTTACGTGCGCGCACACACACACACACACTTGTAATTACTTTGCCGACCTGTTACCCTTACCCTTGCTCTTGCGTTGCCTCCTGATCCTTCTCCCCATTCGCGGAAGCTCCGGCGCTGGCGCTGCTTGCTGTCGCTCTGCGAGCCGTCGGAACCCTTCATTCATCTCCTCCCCTTCGCGTGTGAAGCGCTCGGCAAAATCGCGGCCGTAGCCCTGGAATATCACTGTGTGTCGTTAATTAGCAGATGCAATTTGGATAGGTGCTGGATGTAGATGTGGATGTGGATATGTGAGGGGAGGCTATATCTCGTTTCTCTCCATGATTCTGCATGAACCGAATTTTTCGAATGTTTTTCCGGATAAAGTAGCCGTGGAGGAAAGGTGGAGGGAGACATGCATGGCCAGGACGGACTTGGAATAGATCTCGAGGGCAGGAACAAAAGAGAGGACAAGAGCAAGGTCAAAAGGAAACAGAAACAGATAAAAAAAAAAAACCAGAGAATACGTACTTCGTTCCCAGTACACAGCCGGGTCCTCAGCCAAAAGCTCACGATCCTCTAAATCTCCACCGTCGACGTCCGTAGTACCTCCGCTATGCTCAGACACACCCGCATTCATCCTCTCACCACTAGCAGCAGCAGAAGGGCTACTACCAGCAGATCTTCTACTTCTAGACGCCTCCGTCTCCTGATCTCGCCCTGGCATCCTCGCCGAAGAGTCATTGAGCGCTTCCTGAGCGTTGGGCTGGGTAGCTGCGCGCTCTTGCTCCGCGAGCAATTCTTCCTTAGCTTGTTCGTATGGGCGTCGCCGCCATTCTTCGTCTGCTGAGGGGCTGTGGGTGGATTTTGTCAGTGTCGTAGCATGGCCTAGCCTAGCGTAGATTATCGACCTATCTAATGAAGTTTTGAAGTCTTGAAGTTGGGAAGCTGGGAAGTTGAAAGCTGTGAAGCTGCGGAAGGGAAATGGAAAACGGGAAAAGTATGATAAAGGCAGCTACTCACTTCATCTCCCTAGCCTCCCGCCCCGCCAGATCCACAGCCTCAAAGTCCCAGCTGCGGCATTGCAGCGCAGAGAGGTTCATCCGAGAGCACCGCTCACATGGCGGACCACCGTGACAGAACGCTGGCGGCTCAGCGGAGCAGCGCGGGCAGAATGGGTCGTTGTGTTTGCGTCGGTCGCCGTTAGATGAGGCATCCCAAAGAAATGGTATTGGAAGTATGCTGAAGGAAGAGCTTTGTTGGTCTTGATCGCTGGCCATGGTGTTGTAGTAAGAATGATGATCGTCTTGTGGACCTTGAGTTAGGGGTGTGGCAGTGGATTATATGTAGAGCCTACGGCATCGGTGGATCAGGACTGTGATTGTTGTTGAGGTGATTCCAGATCCGGATTTGGTTGTGAATCCACGTCCACGGCCGAGGCTGAGTCCAAGGCTGAGTCCGAGGCTGTTACTGTTACTGAGATTTCTGCTAATGCTGTTGGGTCAACAGTCTCTTTATGCCTTCCCCTATCTTGCGCCTCCTTAAGTTGTATCTCTTGTTGCTCCTGCTCCCTCGCCATCCTCGTCATCTCCTTCAGACCTCAATATATATCATTGTTCAAAGATTTACGGATAAAGATCCTCTATTCCGTTTCTTTCTGACGAGTTCTTGTGACCGGATAGACCCTCTCGTGTTTGTATGTACGTGGGAGGTGCCTACCATCAATCGACTGAGCAAGATTTGGCTTTGTTTTAATCTCTTGCTTTATCGCATTTCAAACTAAGAGAAGCTTATAAAGATAATGCTTTGTAATATTATTGGCTGTTGCGCTCTAGCTAATTGTATTAGGACAACATGATCCTGTCAGGTACTGCTGAGATTTATCCAGGCGGTCGCCTTGGGAACCTCCAATGATATAATTTGCTTGAAATATTCATTTTCTATATTTTATATAGAGCTTCAAAACGGTAAAAGTTGCTCAGACGTGTTTACAAAGGGTTCAAGTTAAGAGATGATGTCTTGGTGACGTTGTTTACTTTCTCGCTTAATCTGCCCAGCCAAGCCATATTTTTCTTCTGTAAGTAAAGAACGATTTTTCTTAAAGCGATAACGCGTATTATTAATTGATTATTGTCTCCAACTTCTAGCGCTATCAAATACCGATGTTCTGATACTGCGAAGTGATAATCATGAGATTTTCAGGTTTCTTTAGAACAGGTAGATCATGGTGACGAAGGGCGAGGGGCTAATATGGAAGCTTCTTATAGGTTTATCTTCAAACTCGATTGCCTAGATAGAGGGGAAAATTTATAACTTGTGGGTTTTGCTGACAAGCGCTCTTGAGCTAGGTCTGCTCCTGTATATGATTGCGAAAAAACACTATAAATTTTTGAGCTTGCGGTGCAAACTTCACATAGTCATCGCAGAAGCCACAAGTCTGTATGTTTGCTGCACCCAAAAAAGACCCCGTATTGATATTCTGGAGCCGTAGAGATGTGGGGGAATCTGCCCTAATAAGTCGCATCTTCACCAAGTTGCGGTTAACTTATCCAGGACTGTTATTCCAAGACCGACCCCCGAATATCCATATCCAGATTCACATTAAGATCTCCCAAATTAATATAATACGAACAATTTGATATAAATTTCAGAATACTGGAACACCATGAGCCCTGAAGAATGGTGTCGGCAAAGCCGTCGGGGGAGTCGCCGATACCTCACCGGCATCACTTCGTCGGCACCTAAGCGATTCACCACACACAAATACTTTTTACTATAATATATAGACTAAAACGAAACTTCATTACAAGACAGCGCAGTAATTCATTGGGACCACCCAGTTAGCTGTGTGAGGTAATGGTTGGTGCCGGACCGCAATCCTGCACCACTAACGGGTTCTCCGAACTGAGGTCTTTCATCCACTTGGATACGAGAGATCTACCCCCGTTAAGAGTACCGCCGCGAGCGCGACTACTTTTTTGATTTTGAATGAGAACTTTTCATTTTCCTTTCTGAAGTTTCAGAGCGGAAGATTTTTGTTCCATTGCCGTTACCCAGGTCTCCTCGAAAACTCTTCCATGAATTCTCCAAAATTATATCAAAGTCATACGGTGAATGCAGCATTTGTTTAAAGTTTTCTTGAAACGAAATCCATGCATTATTTTTTTGCTCCCAAGACGTCCGCTCAAATTTGGTAGGCCGGACTATCCTAACTTTTTTAATCTCAACGAAGTAAGCAAACCCCATTCTCTACCCATTTGCCCCCTGAATATCCATTCCACCCCCGCTGAACCCTTAGATTCGATCATGTGTATGATCAATCGTATCTGATTCCATAATCCCCAAAAAAGCCACCATCGAGACCCCCATTTTTGTTCGTGCGTCTCCCGTCCCTCTCCTTGTCATACACTCTCTTGCCACCCAACCCAACTTCTCTCTCATTCTCCGCCTCATCCGCGAGATCATTTTCCGACGAAGAAGTATAGGGATTTTTCGCCGGCTTGACGTCCATTAACTTCTTTGCCTTCGCCTTGACGTCCACTAACTTCTTTCCCTTCGCCTCCTCGGTGCCGCTTTCCTCCTCATCCTCGTCCTCATCCTCGTCCCCGCCCTCGTATTCGTCATCGTCCTCGTTTTTCTTCCCGTCCTCAATCTCCGTATCCTCTTCCTCGTCCCCGTCCACAATCTCCTTATCCTCCTCCCCGTCCCCGATCTTAGTATCTTCCTTCCCGTCCCCGCCCCTAGCTTTCATCTTTTCTTCATCATCATCGATGGACAAATGACCAGGTACAGCAGCTGCTAAGCACTGCTCCTTGGTCTTCTTCGCCTTTCTGCATTTCTCGCACGGCGCCGGTCCTCTGCAGACCACTTCCTCGGACGTCTTACTTGCGGCAATGACACAACTTGGGCATGGCGGGTCATTCAGCTTGGAGCTCAGGGCCTCGCGGGCAGCCTTCTTCTTCCTCGCAGGACCTCGTCTGACGGGTGGGGGAGGCTCATTGGATGGTGTTGGTAGGTCGAAGAAGTCTTTGAATGAGGAGGCGTCTTCAGAGCACGCGGAATTGTTGGTGAGGCGCATTGTGTAGGTGCAGGAAGATTTTGGAATTTTTGTTTGTGGTGTTGATGTCGAGTCGAGGTCGATGGGTTTCCGTTCCTCTAAAGGAAGGAGGCTTATTCGAAGCTGGAAAAGTGCGCTAGTGTGGCAAAAAGACGCTAGCTGTAATTTCCCCCCCCATGATTTAGCCTATTAATTATCTACAGATCGGAAGCATTAACGTCAAATAACGTGGGAGCCAAAAGGTGAAAGTGTGCCATGTTTTATAAACGTGTTCGCTATGAGAGCGTATCTTCATTACGTTTCATTACGATATGTAGCATGATTCCACGGTCTTCTATGCCCATATCAGTTGTGAAGTATTTACCGCAGAATCTAGCATTTTTGAATGCTATATATCGTCAGTAGCCTTATGCAACAATACGACAGCTCTAATACTCAAACTCTAAAAGTTCATGTCGGCATGTATCACTTTCCGCTCTCATCCAGGACTACTATTCTATTCCCGAGCCCTTACATCTCCTTATACAATATATATATGTAGTATATATATCAATTCACTGCCATATAGGATTTAGATATTTCGTGCTCTCATCTCGTTCAATTTTGCCATCACTACCATTAATCTTATCATGGCTCGTAGTAGAAAAGAAAATTAAGCAGATAACAATATGAAGAAAAACGGTAAACAAGGTAGACCAGATCTTGCGCCAAAGAATCTCATAGGCTAAGTTTCAAGCGTATTGAGTGATTTAAAAAACCAGACGATTTCCAAACTTCCAAGAGGGGAGGAGGGATGATGTTATCGAGCTCTTGTATAAATATATGTATGAAAGCACTTTATCAGAGACAGGAAAACAATCCCTATCAGCCGATCCCTGTACATAATGAAATAATATCAATATGAATAGTTTTTTTTTCGCTGGTTATACCAACTATGGCTCCCCCTTCACTCTGGAAGGTTTGATACAGATGAAGTGGAGGAGCCACACATCGCTTAACAAAAAGGGCATGACCACACCCCGCATTATCGGGAACGATTTATCTTGACTCAGTTTAACAAAAGATGAAGTCTTCTTTGTTATATCCTGACAGAATAACATTCTTTAAAACCAGTGTCTCCTGCAGACTTTTTATGACTTAGGGTGGACTCTAGCATTTTGGTTGACACCGAGAGATATCTTGCGAGAGAACATGGGAAAATACAGAGACTTAGGAGCACTTTCAAGAGACCGCACGAATATCTGCGAAATTTTTCCAATAAAAACTCCAACATATTGATACTGATTCATATGGTCATGCGCACAGCCATGGCTCAGATCAGGCGGCACTGGAGCTCAGCTCGGCATTCTCCCCTTCTCCACCGTCGTCCCGGCCCCCGTGCTTAGCAGAATTCCCCTGTTCCTCTATCCCCTCATTATTCCCGGCACCTCTGTCAAGTACAGCATTCTCTCCAACATTCGGAGCACTGTCCTCGGCGCTTGGAGATGGCACAGTCGAAGTCCGCCGAGATCGAGCACAGGGGAAGGTACTCGCTGGTGGGGGGTGAAAGATACCCGTAGTGATAGGGAAAGAAGGCTTTGAAGAGGAAGTGAGCACGTTGGTGGAATTTTCCAACAGATCGTATGATGGACTGGTGCCTGGCTTGGGGTCAAGGATGGCAGCAGTCACTGGAGATAGTCCAGGCTCGCCCAGCAGGGTGTCACTGAAGACCAGATCGCGCATCCCCTCGACGACGTCCTGGGAATTGGGCCCGGGCGAGCCTCCTGTCGGCTGGGATATGGATGGATTGGCCGTCCCAGGGACTTTGCTCATCTCTGCCAACCCAGCGTCGCTTTTTTGGGTCACCATCTCTTTGTGCTTCCTGGCTTTCAGTGTACTGATCACCATCTCCACGAGGATACTCCAGTGCTCCATAGCAGTCGCTTTGCCCGCGCTCTGACCCTCAGCCATAGACTTGGGAGGAATTGGTGTCAGCACTGCCAGGATGGCGTTGACTTCTTGGCATTGTCGAGGCGTCCACGACGAGACCCTGACAAGCGCCTCTATGCTCTTCCTGAAATTCTGGAGTTTGGACAGAGCACGAGTCCAGTTGACCTCTGTTGAGAACTCCGCGAGCGGATCGTCGTCAAATGGTCTAGCGAGAGCTGGCTCGTCCATTTTGTTGTGTTTGGAAAATGTGACTGTTGAGGAAGGAGATGGATTGGAGGGTTTAAGCTCAGAATATATAACAGTGTCACGACGGTACGACAAAGCTAGCAAAACTTCATCTTAATCTTTTGCAAGCTTCCTTGTTTAAGTTTCTGTCATCATTTCATCAAGGCAAATAGCTGTCTATTCCAGAATATTCTTTGTCTTAAGTTTCTCTTCATATAATTACTTCACATCTTACAAGAAATTATCTAAGTCAGTTCTCAATGGATGTTTAATTCCGTTCCGTACTCTTGCGCGCATCAACGAAAAGGAAGATCCGTGAGGCATGGTTTTGATTTCAAAGGCCACAAAAGCCAATAGAGAAAGGCGTAAGAATTACTCTTTGAACACCAACGGCATTACAGTACTAGAGAAAGGGAACCACGAAGCTCCACAGCCACAGACTATCTTTCTGTATAAGAAAACCCGAGCAGATATCCAACAAGCTATCCAGTCAAATATGAATATTCGACGAAACCGTTTGAAAATAAATTTATTTCCAGCTATCCGTAAGACTATATCTCAAACTCCAAGATCAGGAGCAAGGATGGAATATGCAATGTCGCATAGATACGCTGAGGACAACTACCTTAAAGGGGAATGCAGGAGCATTTAGACAGTCAGCTGATCGTCCGATAACCATTTCTTTTAGAGACGATTTTAATATGTTGGCATGGCTGGTAGATCACCCTAGGCCTATACTTAAGATTGAATAGAATTTGAAAACAAACGATTTAAATTATTTAAATCGTAGCTAAAATAAAACTATTTTACTCGATTAAATCGTTTTTTTTAAATACTCGTCTTTTCGTATAAAAACCGTCTTAGGACCGTCTTCGAGCGTTTTAAGACCGTCCTATGGCCGTCCCATGGCCGTCCCTGAGCTTAAAACCGTCCCTGAGAACATAAATTAGTAAGCAAATACTCTTTTTATTGCTTGCTAATCTACCCTTTACTACCTGAACCACCTACTATAATAGTTAGTTGATTTATCATTTATTAAAAAGGAGCAAATTTAACTGTCACGCCTTGGTAGTGCCGACTTGCTGTAGCAAGTCGGTCAATTCTTTCGAATTAAATTTAAGGAAACCGACGATTAAGCGAGAATCTTTATTGAGTTTCACTTTTTATATAATCGTCGGCTCGCTTAAATAAGCTTCCTTATATCCTTTTAGTCTTAGTCGGCATAAGCGATTGCGGATCGAAAGCGAATGCGTATTTTTTTATTTTTTTATTAGTTTTTGTATATACAAAACAATTTCCAACATCACTTTTTAATTTATAACCGCATAACTCAATTGCATTTTATAATAAGGCTGAAAACGCATGTAAATGGTTTTATTACACCGATAGCTTAACATCTTAAATCGATGAAAAGCTTAAGCAGCAAGCTAAAAAAAAAAAATCTTAAATCTGCTACAAAATAATAACGAATCGTCGATAAGCTTTAAAGAAAAGAAAGAGATGCTAGGTATCGTAAAGGAATCGATTCACGCAAAGCTAAGCGCAAGCGTAAAAGGATTATATAAGAACGCTGTGCTGCAAGCTTAATTATTAAAAACGACGATGCAATACTAATTTCAATTCTCGATTCGAAAGAGATTTAATAGTTGCAACAACCAGCGTTAAATTTTGTGGCCTCGTAAAAAAAAGTGTTCCTCGACCAATTCTTCCTCAACCTAAACCTTTTCTCGGTAACGATGATTTAATAATTACAATTAATAATATTAAAGACCTTTTTTTAAAGGAAGATATTTTTCTTTTTCTTAATAAATAGCTTCAATTTTAATAGTAGTAAAAGTTTAAACGGTTCGTTACGTAAGGTAAAAGACGAGTCAGATTCTAATAGAAATGTGACGACCTTAAGCGATTACCTGAAGGAACTCACGGGAGCGCGGGGTTCACATGGGAGCTCAGGAGGATCTCAAAGTAATGACTTAGAATCAAGAACTACCGAGTGTAGAGGTCGAAAGTAGCTAAGGTCTATATATACGAAGGTAGAAGCGCTAAGGACTCGTGAACCATGGTTCATGGGTCAAAAGAAGGGAATGAGAGAATACGAAGAATACGAGGAGATGCAAGGTAAGAGGAAAAAGGAAGGAGGTAGCTTGGCGCATGTGGGGATACGTCCAGGAGACCTGGCGTGTCGTCACAAGAAATAGTGATCGATGGTCAGATGTTTTATCGGACAATACGATTTTGGATATTTCGGAAGAGATTATGATCGTAGATTAATTATTCATATAAATATTTCTTAGTTGTAATAGTAATTGCTATAATATAAAAGAATCTCCAATATACTCGAAAAATCCGCATTCGCTTCCGATCCGCAATCGCTTATGCCGACTAAGACTGAAAAGATATAAGGAAACCCACTTAAGCGAGCCGACGATTAGTTTAAATACCGACCTATTACCCAAAGCTATTTCGACTTATCACACAAAGCTATTCCAATTTTTTAAATTCGAAAACGCAGTAGAATCGAACTTCACTGGATTACATGCATCAAATGCTGGATAAGAAGCATAAGAAATTAAAAGTTTATTGTAGGTAAGAAATTGAATCTTCGCTCTATCAATTACTCTAATGGCTTTAGCTTTACAATTAAATTCTCAAGTTGATATGAAAACGCCCTAATGCGATATTGCGACGTGTATGTTATTCCCATGGAAAGGAATCTGTGCAGATGGTACAATGGTTTTATCAAAGCCTTTCCATAGCGATCTGTTAACATCCACCGTTGGCTTAGGAAATTTATTTTGGAACTGGTTGACCCTTCGCTTTTGCTAAGAATACCTCACCACAATCATAATCCCAATTCTAGTATCCGGGGACCAGAGGCCCCTCTGCAGTATTCCATACGGAAAGCGAATCTAGCTGTTCCGCTGCAACATCGGCGTTGTCGGCAGAGATTATATCTCCCGACGGCCAGCCCTGATGAGGTCCGGACCATTGTTCGCTCATCGTTGGCTTGTTTGTATGAGAAGTGGGTGGGCGAGCTGCGAAACGGAAAACAATTTTCCAAGGAGCAAGGAAGAGTTGAGGTTGAAGTTGTAAGTATAGATAGTTGGTGTCTGCGAATTCTGCGCAGATGTGTAAAGTTCTACCACCAGTCCCAATTGAATGTTCGGAAGGTGCGAGTTAAGTCTGAGATAGGACGAAGGAGCGTAGAGTCATTGACCAGAGCCATCAATCCCCTCCTCGAGTACCTCTGCACTGCTTCGCTATTTTCCATCTTCCAGAACTTGAAGTGATAGACCAGCAACAGACCGGTATATGCATTGCTATACTATTCATACGCCCCGACGTTTTAATTTGGAAGATAAAAAGATAAGTGTGTTGGGGTATCCATTCATGACACGCAGAACGCTGAAATGCATCGAAAGAAAACCCTCGCCCTACCATTATTGCTCCTTCACAATCAGATGATCCGAGGGCTTGACCCGCTGTGCCCATTCCCTGCGTCGTGTCAGTGATGCAGTGATACCGTCCGTATAGGAGAGCATAGCCCGGAAAACTTACGTCCAACTTCCATCATATAGCCTCCGCTTGCTCTCATCCCCATACCCAGCCTCACTCAATGCCGCATCAATGACTGCAGCCGTCACCCCAGTTCCGCAGCTGTTGATGATCGGTCTCTCCGGATCAATCCCCTTGGCCTCAAATATCTTTCTCAGCTGCTCTCCTGGCAAGATCGTCTTCGTAACCGGATCCAAGAGTTCAGAAATAGGAACAGAGATACTGCCAGGGATATGTCCCGACTCCAATCCAGGCCTGGGCTCGGGATCCTTCCCACTCCATCTTCCCGCGGACCTCGCATCCAAAATCTGCACCCCCTCCGCGCCCTCCTTGTTGTGGTCCTCCGCCAGCTCCTTAACTTCCTCGAAATCGACCAGCTTACTAGCATCAAATTCCGGAATGGGATACACGCATGTATCGACGTCCCAGAACTCCCCACTCTCGGTCGGCAGGCCCTCCTCCACCCAGAGCTTGAAGTTGTTCAGTACATGCACAGAGTCGTGCCCGAATGCCTTCAAAGTCCATCCCACTCTCGGCGCAGAGAAGATGCCCAGTTCGGCAGTATCGTAGACGACGACCGTGTCATCGCGCTTGATTCCCAGTGCGCTCATCGCCTGGGCGAAGTCGGACTTGGAGGGCAGCATGTGCGGGTAAGGGGAGCGTTTGTCGATGACTTTGTCCAAGTCGAAGAAGCGCGCAGAAGGAATGCGCTTCTCCCGAAAGGTATCTAGGCCCTTGCGGCCGTCGTTAGGGAGGAACCAACTCGCGCAGAGAGCGACAGTTCGCGGCGCAGTGGAGATCTTGGAGGGTGAGTTCTTCTTGAGGGCGGCATGGAGCTCGGAGGGCGTGACGAGGTAGGAGGAGAGGGAGCGGGAGCTGGACGAGGACATCTTGTAGGTTGTGCGGGAGAATTGGGTGGGATAGCGAGGAGATGCGGCCCGGGGGAAGAGGGAGAGGGGGAAGGATCTCTTGACTGTAGCTGTAGCTGTAGCTGTAGCTGCCGCCATCGCGTGCGTGCTACGGAGCGCGTTTTTAGAAGCGCATGTAATATGAATGAGCTGGTAGATACAGGAGAACCGTGCAGAGTTCGAGGTGGAAGTTGAGGTTGATGTTGACGTTGAGGCTGAAGTGGTGTAGAGGTGTATGTAGAAGGGGGAGGGGAAGGAAGAGAGCACAAAGCAGCATCGGTATGTAACACGTGATCTCGAGACGAGGACGCGACTGAAAGTCAAATCCAAAACATCACCACAAATCAATCCGGCGCCAACGCCAACAAATCCACCTACTCCCACTCCCACTCCCACTCCCATTCTGCCGACAGCGATCAAATATGAAAGTCAGGATCACCAAGTGGAATGCCGTCGCAACGTGGCGATGGGACATCCCCGACGACGACGTCTGCGGCATCTGCCAAGTCCATTTCGACGGCACTTGTCCGACGTGCAAATACCCGGGAGATGACTGCAGCTTGCGTATGTTGATACACATCCGTGTAGCTTCAACAAAAATATATTCCAGAGGTTGACGAGGAGCAGTCTCAGGCAAATGCGGCCACAATTTCCATATGCACTGCATCGTCGAGTGGATTAAGCAAGACTCCTCCAAGGGCCAATGTCCAATGTGCAGACAGAGTATGCGATGAGCCCAGATGCAGATGCAGATGCAGTGACAGACCCAAACTATCCGTACCAGCATGCTGATTCTGCATACAGAGTTCGAGTGGACCGATACTTCCACCAAGAACCCCAGAGGCTCTCACAGCCCCGAAGCACCCGACGGTTCGACGAGCCCGGAAAGTCCACTAGGATTGGGATAGTTCATGAGGATGAATCGGTGTGTTATCATTGTGGGTTCGGGACTGATGAAAAGAGGAGCAGGATGCGGCGATACGGCGTTGGGATTATGATACCACGGATGGACGAAGTTTGGGCTTTGCGTAGCGTACAAAAGATTGGAGTGCCGTGGATGACATTGGAATGATGGTGCAAGAAAGACGTCTCGCTCTCCTACCCTCAATATTAATCCTATTTTTCAATTTTTTTAAATTTTTCACTCAAGTAAGCCTGGCATGCATACTTCTCTCTTGAACGAATAGATGCAAATCGAACGCTCACGCTCTACATGTACCCGTAAGCACATCTTCATCAACCGTACATTCCCTCAAACCCCCATGATACGAAGGGTCACTCTGTATCTACAGCTAGATACTCCGACGTGAGTTCCTTTGGTAATTCTGATAGCTAGACGGCTTGTTATAGCGCTTTGATTATATAGTCCTGCTAACCTTCTGCGTCATGATTCTTCCGTTTTCGACATCAGTACTTATTCGTCCTGGCATTATGCTTCTGACCAACTACCCGCACATATCAAGCATAGGTACTCTGCGTACATGCCTTATACTGGCGAATGATCCAGGCTTGACCCAGGACTTGAAGGAGGCCTTCACCAAGCCCCATCTGCTTGCTGAATAATATTAAGGCAGAGACACTTTCCTAGCTCAGCCCTGATCTTGAGTTCTTTTGAAGCATGTGCACATCACTGTCTGCGAAGATGCCAGAAACTATTGGCATAGCCGTATTACAGAAGCGAGTTACAGAAGAAAAAGGTTTCGCTAGAATACATTTTTAATCGTCTCAGACACTGGTCCCATTTTCTATCAAGGAGACTCATTCCAAGCTTCTATTGCTGGCCACATCCCGGTGCGGGCCCTTGGCGGTTATATCATCCAAGCAGGAATCTTTCTGAAGTCAAGTTAAGGACTAGATATGGCTGAAACCAAAACGCACCTAGACGTTGGAAAGTCAGTGCCAATTGTTGCGAAACGCCTTCTTTTTATGGGACTAGAATAAGCACAATGCCGCATTTGACAGCTCGCAAACCCATGATAGGCCCGCTAACTCACACGTGGATGTGAAATTTCGCAACCTTAAGCCACCGAACCTCAGTTCGGAGGAAACGAGGTTGGCAATCAAGCCAGGCGAAGAGCTGTCTTCCAAATCCAGCCACCAACATAGCGGACGCACCCGAGATCGCAGCTGAGCAGACAATTTAAATAGAGCCCTCAGCCTCTTATCTTATGATATTTAGCGCACCAAAATCTCGATTAAATCTTTCCAAATTGGGTTTGCTAAGAAATTTGGCTCCCAGGATGTTTACTCGACGCTGTTTGCGGACTCGCCTAATCTCACCCCCTTTTGCCGAAACAAATACCCACGTTTCTGATCTGCGGTTAAGCAGCACAGACATATATCCGTCCTATCTTCGACTAACGAGGCTCATACCCAGCATGCCTTAATGCTGGTACCTATTCATGCTTGATTTCCTTCTCCCGCCGTGGCATGAACTCAAAATCGGCACTCCGACAAGGACGGTCCCATACATCAGAACAATCATACAAAGTCTGAAGTCACAATCCAAACGCGGTCCGGATACCGAAACCAAGCAAATTTGTATCATTGATCCGGTATCATGTTTTCGTCATTGACCTGTGCACAAGGTAAGGAATACCATTTACAGCCGTTCATACGCTGATCACCACCAGATCTCCAGCTGTTCGCATAACTGAAGCAGAACTAGTAGCATCTTCCAATCGCATATCGCATATCGCATATCTATATAAGCTTTGATTCTTCTCTGAGAACTGTATGGCTTTTGTTTAAAAAGAAGACCAAATCTACATTGTCAAGGCACCAACAAAACCTTCAACTAATCTCAAAATGAATAACATCTCGATTCCGCTGTCCTACACCACTCACTCTAAATCCGATTTCGTCTTTCCCCGCCCTCCTCCAACACCGGGTCAGTATCCAGCTCCCATATTGACCAAAGTGGACACTGTGCCCGACCGGCCGAAGAACTGGAGACTCTGGTGGATAAGCGACAATGTCCGGAACCATCTTATTGCAATGCTGGGAGAGTTCATTGGAACGCTGTCATTTCTCTTCTTCAGCTTGACCGCTGTCCAAACCGCCAACAACAAAGCAGATACGCTACCAAGAGCCGATCTCCTATCAACCTCGCCGAGTCTGCTGCAAATATCCTACATCAGTTTTAGCTTCGGGATAAGTCTCATGGTCAATGTATGGGTCTTTTACCGAGTGAGCGGAGGGATGTTCAATCCGGCGGTATGTACCGATATCTTCTATGAATCGGAGCGGAAATAGCTGACATCGCACAGGTGACTTTCGGCCTTTGTTTTGCCGGAGCCGTCCCTTGGATCAGAGGTGCCCTACTCGTCCCGACTCAAATGCTTGCCGGGGTGGTAGCCTCTGGGCTCGTATCCGGACTCTTCCCTGGAGATCTCAAGGCCCAGGTCAACACAAGTGCTGGCGTCTCTGTGTCACAGGGGCTGTTCATCGAGATGATTTTGACAGCCGAGCTAGTATTCACGATTCTCATGCTGGCCGTGGAAAATCACCGCGGATCGTTCCTCGCTCCACTGGGCATTGGTCTTGCATTACTTCTCGCACATCTGATAGGTTCGTCATCACATCATCTATGATCCCGCCGCTCGCGACTCTCCTGCTGATAACTTCAAAAGGTATCAATTTCACGGGAGCGTGCCTCAACCCCGCCCGAGGCTTTGGTCCCGACCTTATTCTTGGAGACTTCAAAGGCTATCATTGGATATATTACATCGGGCCTCTCCTGGGTGCCGCACTTGCCGCCCTTCTTTACAAGCTGCTCAAGTATCTAGAGTATACAACTTGCAATCCTGACCAGGACGACGACGGACTTGATGTTTACCGAGTTATTGCAGGGAGAACGCATTCAAAACTAAACAGACGGAGCAGCATAGAGAGCTTTTCTTCCCAAGCCCCGCTCGCGTAATTATAGAGTTGGTTTAAAGTAATGATGATCAGAAATGAAAGGATTCAATGCAACGATTTATGACGCTGGGATTATCATTATTTTTTTTTTTTTTTTTTTTTTTTTTTTTTTTCAGGAAAGGATGGTTTGTGTGAGAAATGATGCGGCCAGAGAGAAGCTGTTTGGGACCATAGACGAAAGCGTGGAGCGTGAACTTGCCTGCCAACGATTGATTAATATCGTATAGGGTGCTGGAAACTTTTGACGTTAAATGCAAACAAATTATACTTCCTTTTAACTGCTGTCTTGAACCTCTCTTGGTATGATAGCAGCCCCGATGTCTGATCCGGTATATTTATTCAGCAATTATCATAGCTATTTTTAATATGCCCCAAAGCACGCCATGTCCTCGCACTCCTTCCAAGAATTTAAGCCCACAGGCGCAGGGCGGCCACGCTGATAATGGAAGTCAATTTTCATTCTGGGAACATTGGGAAAGAAGAAAGTACTCACAGACCAAGGTGGGCTCTAAGCTGCTCAACAGCTTCCAGGACTGGTATTCCTGGGTATCGTGACGTCGCTGTTGAGACCAGCACGAGATCATATCCGATATAGAACGCGCGGTAGCCCAGGTAAACCCCTGCAATCCTAACTGCATTGCTTCTTTCTCGTACTCTAACAACACCTTTAGCTTGTATACTACCCAGACACTTTCCAGGGCTGTACATCAAGTAGAAGAGGCTTTTCCTGGGCTCACTATTAGTCCTCGAAGCTTAGACGGAGCCAATAAAAGCTTACAGTCCGCGAAGAATTATCTTCAAGCTGTTTGAATACTCATGTCAGCATGAGCCGTAATTCCAGTAAGAGATTGTCATACATAAGAATGGATTTTCTCCTGAAAGCCGTTAGCACCGTATCAAGTTGATAATTTCTTTCAATAGTGTAGCTTACTCCTTGGAGAGAATGCTTGCTATCTCCAGCCTGAATGATGTTCAGTATACAAATACATAACCATAATCTATTAAGCCTCACAGAAACATGCTAGCACACGAATTAAGTAACCCAGAAGAAAACCTCGAGACAGTCACTGGAATATCTTACCACAGGGCCAGCTTCATTTCGACGTAACTGTACCCATATACACGTTAGCCTGTGGTTTCGCAGCGAGAGTGCTCAGGCTTGCAAGAGGCCCAGCAAAGCAGGCTTGAAAGACTCTTACATCTTCACCTGGTAAAAGCCCCCAGGAGCCATAACAGTGAAGAACCTATGCAAAGTGGGTCTTATGTAGTATATCCATTGCCGGAGGCTCGTTACCTGATGAAGATATCCCTGCCCTGATAAAAGTCAGCATTCTTCGAAACATAATGCTCAGGGACACCGATGGATAACATACCAAGTGAGAACAGGCTGTATTCTGAAATCACGAATCAGATTGTTCTTCTTCAGATGATCATATAGCCCTTACACGTAATGGTAAATCAAAGGGCCGCTATACTATTGGATCAGTGTCGAGACAAGTTAGAAGCGGGTGTATTTACAGAAATAAGGTGGCTGGCTGCACCCATTGTCTGAGCGGCGAATGGCAGACTCATCTTGAAGTTCTCGGAGTTGTGGGACAGTGTGCTTGATACGTTGGTTACATGTCGTTATCCAGCGAGCATCGTTGAAGACGAGACCTGGTTGAAGACGCCCCAAACTGCTCAGACGGAAGCCACGATCTCTGTCCGTACCTGCCAGCCATAGCAAACATAGCAGCCCCACGATCACTGATCCTTAATATGCCGAAATCAATATGTGGGAAGAAGTATATTGGCCGTCAATAACAAAATTTAAAGTTGCAGGTCTGATCCGAAAAGTAGCATCGATCAAAATTGTTCTGCGGCAGTGGAAACAGCGAAACACCTTCTGCTGTTTGTTAGCTGCGAAGGGGTACTTGAGCACCAATACCTCTCGCTCCTCCACTCTTCCTTGCTGCTTGGCTCTCCCTCGCTCCTTGATTTTTGAAGCTTAGAATCGCTATTATTTAATCATTTAAAGCCAGCTAATGCTGTAAGTCATCCCGTACCATGGCTCGGCTCTATTGGTTGGCTTTTCCCTGGGTAGCAATTGGGTGGACAATTGCTGCTTGCTTGGGTTGCGCCTTTATAAGGACTGTAGCTGAGAAGCCATGGAAGAAGTCCATGAATGAGGTCTGGGCGGGAATGAATGTGGCGGGAGATGAGAAAGACACGTTAGACTGGGAACTGCCTGGAATCACTCGGCGGCATGTGAAGTCCGATTAGAAGAGAGTGCAAACTTCTGGGGAAGCGAAATGAAGGAAAGGCACAAAGAAGAGGAGCTTGAGCCGAGTCCGAAAAGCGAACATGATGAAAGGAATGGGCAAAGGATAGGGCGGAGAATGAGAAGAAATGATAAGGGTGCAACTGCCAAAGGTCTATTTGGAGGGTGGTATATGTTTAAATTGTGGTCAGGGAATTTGATATCAAGCAAAATTGAGAAGGATAAAAAATATTTGCATATATCAGGCAGTCATTGATTCAAGAAACCGTGCATGTTTCTCCAAGAATCGTCGTGAGAGCCTCTTATAAAAAATCTGGCATTACACCCGTAAAAGTATCTGCTGAGTATAAACATCTGGAGCTATCCTATTTGTCACGAAAGCTTATTCAGTAAAGGCAGGATAATAACATTGAAAGGAAATTAGACGCCAGAGGCACACTAATGAAGGTATATTAGTCTGATTCTGAGGGAAAGATAGTTTTGAGAGACAGCGCGAGTAGGCTTGTTTCTGCAGTGTTGATCCAGGCAAAAAACGTCAGGTTGAAAAAGAACTTCATAGGACGAAGATAAGCCGCTCAACTGCTACAGGGTATCGCACCATATGCAGCTCTGCGCATCATGTGCAGCTCTGGCAGCCTTGCTTCACAGCTTGATATAGATTTACAGACTCAGGAGCTCAAGTAGCGAGGAACAGGTTTCAATCTCATTATTATAAAGCAAGGTCTGAACATCATTCCAGACTTCATTTACCTTATTCGCTTCTTGAACGGCTTTATACTAACGCTTATTCTATAGCTAAGAGTTAAGTACGACTCGTGTATCTATTTTTATGGAAGCGCTATTGCAGCCGAGACCTGATTATATAACTCGATTCTGGCCTGCATTTCTGGGGACGAGTCGGCCCTTAATTTTCCAGGCTTGCTTTTGGAGGAAGGGCCGCTGCTAGTGAATGGCTGCGAAGTAGAGTTATGACAGAATAAGATATACAGCACGTAGCAAGTATCGAATGCCATGTTTTCTTAGAATATGCCTCACAGCCGCGGATGTTTTTCAGTAAGGATATCCAATAAAATTTCCGTGTTCTCCAACATTGATACACTGCCTATCAAGAAGCCCGGGGCTCATACGAAACGAGAACAAATCCCAATACCTGCTTTACGCTCCAATACCTTCAATTCCCATTTTCAATCCTCGATTGCTCCGCGATCGAGAGTAAACTCTCACCAGCCGTTAGCAGTGTTCTTGCAATTTCGATTGGCACTAAGACAAAAGATTAGTATCCAAAGACTAGTTCCATACAGAACAGAATAGGATACATACCCTCCGGTTGTTGTAGCATAGTGCTTCTTACAGCCACTGTTTAAACCGTAATCGCAGCAATTCTTAGCACCCGAACTACCGCTGACCCTGTCTGTATATCAACAAGATATTCTCGAAAGGAAAGTAGTAGAGAGTGACGGCGTAAAGCTCACTGGTAGATGTTATTGACATTAGCAGGAGCTAAGACTTGTTTACAGAAGCCGCACTATTTTGGACGAGATCGTGTTAGCAATCTCTTGAACTAATACGATATGGATAGATTGCCTACGTATTTGCCGGCCGAAGCTCCCGTCATGCCCGTGCAGGTATATGCGCAGGCCCGCTTCTCGAAGAAGCTTTCGAGTGAGGCTTCACGCTCGGTGATATCGAATTTTCCCGCGGCTTTCAAATCGGCCTCTGCTTCGGGCTCGGCGGATGGGAGCGAGTGGACAAGAGAGAGCAAAGCGAGAAGTGCAATTTGAAACTTCATGATGGAGGTTGATAAAGAGGTCAGTTCAAGTGTTTGATGTAGGAAGAAGTAGAAGTGATGCTGTTGTGCTTTAAAGAAACAGAAGAGCGATCGTTGGTCTTATATGGACATCAAAGGCTCGGCAGAGAAGTTGGCTTCGCGGAGAATAGTCACTACATTGCTACATCCCTCTTTGTGCTACCGAGTCCCTCTGATTATTCTTCTCCAAAGGATCAAGCCACATCGGCAAAAGATTTGGATATCACTGGAGCAAAAAACTAACATCTAGATCATGATTTTTTTGTTCCACAAGTGAGAATGTACAGAACATGGCACTCTGTGCTTTGGTACCACCCGATCTATTTATATATCAAAGTTATGGCCAGTAAAACTTCAAGCTCCTTCCTCAACGATAAACATCCACATTGGCATTACTCATAGACAGATTGTTTATTTTTACTGTTGGAAAGTCGTCAGCTCGCTTAATTCGTGACCAGGAGCAGCCCAGGAGATATTTATATTCGATAAGACGGCACGACAGCTTACAGCACAGGCTGCAAACTGGATTGGATATTCAAATGCATGAGAGAATATGTACAGAGGTTACACAAATAAGTCTAGCTTCCAATGCAAAAGATTTCCAAATATAAAACGCACATCTCTCAAGTGACCTGTTACCCGCATCACTTGTCTTACGTTACCTGCAGGCAGGCACGGCGTTCCGAACCGCCACCGTCCTCCAAAAATAGAAAACCATTGCGGGGAAATAAGAATGCCATCAAGATCCTTCAGAAATTTGCAGCAGCTGAGATTCCGCCAGGAAATCTTTCCTTCTTTTTTCTTGTTTAATTACACGAACAATACTAGCTGAGAGTTTCCATTCCACAACAGCGATGTCAGCGAGCCACGTAAAGCAATCATGAAACCACAACCAGTAATACCACTCACTCTATTTCGGAATCATTGCATCTGCTTCCATGATCGCGTCTACACTTGTTTTAGATCATGAACTTGATTTTATATCCGATACCCAAAAGCACAAATAGTATAGCACGCTTTCGAATAAGCGATCAATTGATTCATGTGTTGCACGAAATGATTCGGGAATGATAATATACAATTCTATCTTTCCTCTTATTAAAAATATCATATTATAATAAAGGGGAACTCAATGTAGAAAACGGCTCTCTATATTAGTAGGGATGCTTTGGGCTTAGCTTGCCAAGCGTTTTCTCTGTTCAGCAGCTTTCTTGCTGGACCAAAATAACTTATTCGACATTAATGGATCAGCTGTAACAAGAAACCAATAGAAAATCAAGGCCAAGCTTCGATCTTAGCTACGCACTTAGCTGCTCCATAGAGCCCCATGAGCTTTGTAACCTTCTTACGGGAAAGCCATAGAAGGCGCTCCATAGTATAATCATTAATGGAAATCGTGTTCTGTATTTGTTTTTTCTTTATGTCAAGTACTATGATCAGGCGCCCTTGCTACGTAAGTGCATCATATATATAGCTTACATGTCGATATATTAATACCGACCCAGCTCGGTTATGCCAGCTCGGTTACGGGATGAGCATGCCTCGCTTTCATGCGTGACAATAATACCTTATAAGATTACCATGCCACGCCCGACAGGAATACTCTACTCGGATACCTAGTATCCGTCTAACTACTGGGAAGCCCTCGCTACACTTATAGTTAAGTGTTGGTATACCCACATAGGGTGTGCACACAGAGACTTGGTACGAATATCAGTTGCGTATTCGTTGTATTGTTAAGTCTAGGGAGGAAGGAGATTCTTGTTGCGAGGTGCAGTTACATGTAGTGGGGGATGCCTAGGCCACAAGTGATTGCCAAGAGGTCTACGGATCAGTAGGATGTAGTCTGGGGGGTATAGATGTTGGAGGTCCTTGGGCAATGTAGAAGCATTAAAAAAGAGCTGTTGTATAGTAGCCTGACAACAAGGCTGGACCTTATGGTCTTCATAAGGAAGTGCAAAAAGATAAGTGGAAAAGCTCGTTGATTATTTTAGTTAAAGGATATGTGCTCTTTTATAGAAGATAGGTCTGCTTAGTATAGCCTTAATGGCCTTAGCAAGAAGCATGTCAAGCAGGGCGTTTATATCCGTTTCCTTATAAAATAGATACGCGCTTCCGCTTATTATGAAGCAAAAGAAGAAAAGAAAGGCCAAAAAAAAAAAAAAAAAAAAAAAATAACAAAAAATCTAGTATATAAAAAGAAGGGGGGTATTTTGTCTCTAAGTTTTACGCAGTTTAATTATTCTTTAATAATTTCCTTAAGGTTTTCTTTCGTACCCTTAACTAGGCTGCTCCATGGGGTGGGGGCCCCATAGGGTTTTCCTTCCCATTCCTTCCATAAGGTCTTGGCCGATAAGGGACTCTTTTTTTAAAACCTTATAGAAAGGATTTTTTTAAGTCAAATTCCAATTTCCTTACGAGGGATAAGGAAACTCCATGGGTTTAAAGTAGGATAGCTAAAAATAATATATATAAGGCAGCTAAAAATAAAATGAATTTACGAATATTTATTAATTATACTTAATAATTGTTACGGCTGTCGAAGGCAGTATGATTGTATTGCTACCTAAGAGTACGCTCTGTAATGAGAAAGAAAGATGAAAAGGAAAAGAAGGGAATATGTCGGTATCTCCATATCGACCTTAGCTAGCTAGTAGTAGTAGTTGGGGAAGCTCACCCGTGAACCATGGTTCACGGGCCACTTGGCATGCCTCGCTTAGCATGTCAGCAGTCAAGGGACCCCCAACTTGACAAGTAGACTTATTAGTTAGCTAGTGCACGTGATTCCTTTTAGTCTTATAAAAAGAATCAGCTCCTTTGAATCTTAAGGAGCAATTAGAATTCAGATACCTTATCAATCGAGTGTTTTGCAATTGCAAGTACTTTGACGACCGTTACGATCTTACGAATATATTCTTAATCGCTTAAAAGCAATCTAATATTAATCAATAGTTGATTTACTACTAAGTGATCAATTATAAAGAAGCTAAGACTTTATAGCGAGAATACCTTTTTATTACGATCTTTCCTTCTTTTTATAACGGAAAAGCGATTCCGTACCAAGTCGCTTTTTATACTATCGATTTTCTTTATTTTTACGGAAAAGTGATTCCGAACTAAGTCACTTTTATATAATAACCTTCAACGCTATAAGAGCCGCGCTTGCTATATATAGCAACTCAACTAATTTAAATCAACTTATATATAAATAAACAACAACTATAGCCGATCGAGCAATTAGACTTTTAAGTAAGGAATCTAGCCGATAAAAAGCAATAAAGTATTATACTTTTCGAATCTTATTATCACTTACGGAACCCTTAGCTATTTAGCTAAAAGAAATATTATACTTAAGGCTTTTAAGCTTCTCGAAGGGATTAGACGATAAAATGTCGAGCATCTTATTTGACTTAAACGAGCTCTTATACGCAAGGCTCGATAATGAGATTACGACTCGAGTAATAGTAAAGGACTTCTTAGATGCAAAGTATAAAAGGCTAAAGGATTACGACTTATAAAGCTTATTCCGGCACGCTTTCTTACGCTAGGATTAGACGAGTTTTACGATGACGAAGGATAATACGAGACGAAGCTTTAAGTTTGCTACTTTTATTAGCTTTAAAAAACACTTGCTGTTTAAAGGCGTGTAGTGCTCTTTAAAGCAAAAGGGCTACGTTAATAAGATGGTCAAGCTTTTAAACGACGAGCAGCAACACTAATAGACTTTCTAAGAAATAAAAAAGCAATAAGCAACACTTTTAAGCCTCGATTTAAAATAGACCGCCGAAAACCTTACGGACGACGACGACGATATTACACTTTAACCACTTTTACCTTCGCGCAATCTAAAAAGGAAAGAAAAAGAAACCTTAAATAAAAGAAAAGAAAGGGAAAAGATTCGAAAGTTACGCGAAGAGTTTGCGAAAAAGAAGAAGGATATAGAGCAAAATATAAAGGTAATAGCAAAGCAAATAGCGGAATTACGGACCTACGTTATACAATTAAATAAAGAACTACGACGAAGCATTTTAGCGTACTCGACGCTTTTAATTTATTAATCGCTACGCAATACGCTAATTATACAAGAGCTAAAATCACTTTAGCGGCTTTTAAACCTCTTTCTTAAGGGCTACACCCAGTTTCTTAAAAAGCTTAGACCGAGTAGCAATACAAATAGTTTTAAGATCATTATCGGACTAGATAACACTCGAGGCTACGAAAGCTATACGCTAAAAAAGGACCTATTAAAACTTAAGAACATTCCGGGCAAAATCAGCTTTCACTAAAGATAGCGTGCAGATTTTCGTGCTTAACCTTAATAACTCGAAGAGAAGATCTAGCACCTTCGGACGTACCGGCAAGCTACCCACATCTCTTAAAAGGCTACGTATTAATAAAAGAGAGACTAAAGGTATAGGAATCGCTAAAGGCAAGCTTAAGAATACGGATATCATTAAGCTAGAGCCTTAGCCAGTGACTCGAATAGCTTTAGCGATCTTAACGATGATCGACGAAAAGGAAACAAAAGAGATTAGCAAGGAGATCGAGGCTACGAGTACGGAAAAGGTAGGAACGGCCTTTCCGAACTATCAAGAGGATTCGGAAACGGACCCTTAAAGGACTTCGGATCCGGAAATAAGCCTCTTAAGGACCTTAGAAAAGTAAGACTTATAACCGGCAATTATATCGGTAACCTTTTACCGATCCGACCGCTACTTAAGCACGGCACGCTTGCGTACGGCACTCTAAGCGCTTTTGACGATGATAATAACGATTTCTTTAAGCTAAAAGCAATTGACCTTTACTTAAGAGCAAAGGAATTAGCTTTGTTTGCAAAAAGCTTTCTTAAGGAACTAAAGTATTCGAGACCCGACGATAACTTTAAGACTTAATTAAGTATTTTCGCTAACTATATGACGACCTTAAGCGATTACTTGAAGGAACTCACGGAAGCGCGAGGTTCATATAAAAGCTTAAGAGAA